GGTGTCACCCCTAATGTTCAGAGGGTGTCAAGCTGGCTGCTGGTAATTACTGCTCTTTCTACTTCTTCATCTTCACGGCTCATCAGTTTTGTATTTCGTCTTCAAGGGACCTTCGGTTTCAGTTGAGGCCTCAGTGTCAGCCCTGAACAATATGCTCAGCTGATGAACAGCCTCTCCAATTTCTCCTAACGTTCTTCAACAGAAGCGATGATTGTACAGCTGACGGCTGTTGGGGCGTTCACTGAGCAGTTGAGGGCTGTTGGAGCGTTGCCTGGGCAGGTGACGTCTCTTGGAGAGTTGACTACAGGTGACGGCCGTTTGAGCGTTGGCTGTGCAGGTGACGGCCGTTGGAGCATTGACTGTGCAGTTGACGACTGTTGGAGCATTGAATGCAGGTGACGGCTGTTGGAGCATTGAATGCAGGTGACGGTTGTTGGGGCGTTGACTGCAGGTGACGGCCGTTGGAGCGTTGACTGTGCAGTTGACGACTGTTGGAGCATTGAATGCAGGTGGCGGCTGTTGGATCGTTGACTGCAGGTGACGGTTGTTGGGGCGTTGACTGCAGGTGACGGCCGTTTGAGCGTTGACTGCAAGTGACGGCTGTAGGAACGTTGACTGTGCTGGTGACTGCTGTTGGAGCGTTGACTGCAGATGACGGCCGTTGGAGCATTGAGTGTTCAGGTGACGTCCGTTGGAGCATTGACTGTGCAGGTGATGGCTGTTGGAACGTTGACTGTGCGTGTGACTGCTGTAGGAGCGTTCCCGTTAGTCGCCTCTTACGACAAGCATAGTCACCTTTTACGGTAAGCATGGGTTGCTGAGAGACCTATTCTACCCCGGACCTTCATGTGTGCAACCCTATCTAAAGCGTTACAACCCTATTTAAAGCGTTACAACCCTATTTAAAGCGTTTCAACCCTATTTAAAGCGTTACAACCCTATTTAAAGCGTTTCAACCCTATTTAAAGCGTTACAACCCTATTCAAAGCGTTACAACCCTATTCAAAGCGTTACAACCCTATTCAAAGCGTTACCACCCTATTTAAAGCGTTACAACCCTATTTAAAGCTTTTCAACCCTATTTAAAGCGTTACAACCCTATTTAAAGCGTTGGAGTAGTCAGCATGGTAGAAAAGCGTAATGTCATGAGAAAAAGAGTAATGTTAAGAGTACCATGCCATGATGCAAGATTTTGCTTCGACAATTTTGTTAGGCCTCTGCGTAAGTGAAGCATGGGTACACATGCACTGACGTTAGCCGCACTCTAAAAAACTGGACATCGACACCGGAAAAATAGAAGTTCCATGACAGCATGCGGCAACCTCATTAACCACATGCATTTGGACCACAATTAAAAAAATAGGCTGTATTCCAAATTCATTTGGTAATTTTAGATTATAAAAACTTACGAAAGCATTCTATTCAAGCGGTTGTGTGGGGACAAGCTCCCAACCCTGTTATTTAAATCAGGCAACAGAAAATGGCGTCGGAAACACTGCATAATGTCGAAACACGTGGTCAAAGCCCCACACATTCATAAAATTAATCATGTGACAATATTAACTGTATTGCCTAAAGGCAATGTGGTGATTCAAGTTTCAAAGAAATATCGATGTACATGCAATTAACTCCCTGTAGAATGCTTCACGTGATCGGTGCATTAACCATTTGCTCTCCGTGATAATTTATACATGAAAATAAGTCGTGAAAAAAATATGATAAAAATCGTAATTTGGGTAGGATAATCGTAATATTAATGTTAGGCTCAAAAGCTTAATGGTTGGCATTTCTGCAGAAGGTGTGTTCAAGTCTTGTTGATAGAAGTTAAGAGCATCAAGAAAACAAGTTTAGAATTCTTTCAATTTTTTAAAAAAAACATGATTCATCAACAAACAAAACAAATACCAAATTTCAAAAAGAACAAAACCTAGCCAAGTAATGGACATACTTTTTTTTCAAAATAGCTACTACGGTGGCCATATTTAAAATCAGACGCGAACTTCTCAAACAACTTGGGGTGTCATCGTTGTGGGAATAAATATGTGAAGTTTCAGCTTCATTGGTCCAGTGGTTTCCATGGAGAAGGGGTCTTCAGCAACCCACGCTTGCTGCGAGGGTGGAGCCTGACCACCCGACCCACATAGTCACCTCTAACGACAAGCATCAGCACCTTGTACAGGAAGCATGGGTTGCTGAAGACCCGTTCTTCACAGCTTTGTAAATCCTGAGATACCAGAAGAAGGTCATGGCGAATGTCAAGGTGTAATAGCTCCCATACGTCCACAGCATTTCAAAACATTTATAAGAAATAACTTTACAATCACCTGTGACCTTGGCCTCCTACATAGGTCACACAGATTCTAGCCCCGTATCTAGACCGTATCATTCATATTTCCGTGCGTTCGCTCGTCACGCCGAAGACCCGGGTTCGATTCCCGACATAGGTCACACAGATATTAGCCCCTCCATGAGATCAAACTTACTTTCAAACTGACAATCATGAAGTTTGACTTGCTAACCGCAATAAGGGACAATTCCGACACAATACAATGCTTGTTCTTTTTCTAAAACAACTAGATTTAAAATCTAAGGAGAATTAATTACTGATTTGATAAGAAAGAATTTAACAGTTTTAATAACAATTACACTAACTATTGTAATGCGATATATATGAACAAAACACAACTACAAATGAAAGTTTAAAAGTGTTTAAAGAAAAACAAACATAACTTAAAAAGCACCTATGAATACAGACAAGAAATAACATTTGTAAGACGAAGAACAATCAGCTGCTGTGGAGAATAGGAAGACAGGAATCTGCACCAAGTGACAAGGGAGACAGGAATCCGCACCAAGCGACAAGGGAGACAGGAATCCGCACCAAGCGACAAGGGAGACAGGAATCCGCACCAAGCGACAAGGGAGACAGGAATCCGCACCAAGCGACAAGGGGGACAGGAATCTGCACCAAGTGACAAGGGAGACAGGAATCCTCACCAAGCGACAAGGGAGACAGGAATCCGCACCAAGCGACAAGGGAGACAGGAATCTGCAACAAGCGACAAGGGAGACAGGAATCTGCACCAAGCGACAAGGGAGACAGGAATCCGCACCAAGCGACAAGGGAGACAGGAATCCTCACCAAGTGACAAGGGAGACAGGAATCCTCACCAAGCGACAAGGGAGACAGGAATCTGCACCAAGCGACAAGGGAGACAGGAATCTGCACCAAGCGACAAGGGAGACAGGAATCTGCACCAAGCGACAAGGGAGACAGGAATCTGCACCAAGCGACAAGGGAGACAGGAATCTGCACCAAGCGACAAGGGAGACAGGAATCCGCACCAAGCGACAAGGGAGACAGGAATCTGCACCAAGTGACAAGGGAGACAGGAATCCGCACCAAGTGACAAGGGAGACAGGAATCCGCACCAAGTGACAAGGGAGACAGGAATCCGCACCAAGCGACAAGGGAGACAGGAATCCGCACCAAGCGACAAGGGAGACAGGAATCTGCAACAAGCGACAAGGGAGACAGGAATCCTCACCAAGCGACAAGGGAGACAGGAATCCTCACCAAGCGACAAGGGAGACAGGAATCTGCACCAAGCGACAAGGGAGACAGGAATCTGCACCAAGCGACAAGGGAGACAGGAATCTGCACCAAGCGACAAGGGAGACAGGAATCTGCACCAAGTGACAAGGGAGACAGGAATCCGCACCAAGTGACAAGGGAGACAGGAATCCGCACCAAGTGACAAGGGAGACAGGAATCCGCACCAAGCGACAAGGGAGACAGGAATCCGCACCAAGCGACAAGGGAGACAGGAATCTGCAACAAGCGACAAGGGAGACAGGAATCTGCACCAAGCGACAAGGGAGACAGGAATCCTCACCAAGCGACAAGGGAGACAGGAATCTGCACCAAGCTACAAGGGAGACAGGAATCTGCACCAAGCCACAAGGGAGACAGGAATCCGCACCAAGTGACAAGGGAGACAGGAATCCGCACCAAGCGACAAGGGAGACAGGAATCTGCACCAAGCGACAAGGGAGACAGGAATCTGCACCAAGTGACAAGGGAGACAAACAAGCCTGTCCTGGGCCCCGTCCCACAAAGCAATCCCATGCTCTAACATAGACTTACGTTGGTTGGTTGGTTTGTTGATTAACGCCGTACTCAGCAATATTCCAGCTATATGACGGCGGTCTGTAAATAATCGATTCTGGACCAGACAATCCAGTGATTAATATCATGAGCATCGATCCATGTAATTGGGATCGATGACATGCATCAACCAAGTCAGCGAGCCTGACCACCCGATCCTGTTAGTCGCTTCTTACGACAAGAATAGTCGCCTTTTACGGCAAGCAAGACCTATTCTACCACGGATCTTCACGGGTCACAGACTTGCGACTACATAGACTTACGACTGACATAGAGTTACGATCACTTTGTTGGATGAGGCCCCGCTCAATACCCTGACTATGGAACTGATCCTGTAATAATTCGGGCGATGGATGAAATTCTTTTTAGCAAAAAATGATTTTTTTAGTCAGTGATACTAAACGTACCAGTGATTCCCCTGAAAGGCCGTGCCAAACCAGGTTCTGAGGCCCTACAATAAGCTGACACGCCGCGATATAACTGGAATACTGTTAAAAGCGGCGTTAAACCCAACTCACTCACTCACTCACTCTGAGGCCCTACAACACACCCATCTAAAGAAGTCCAGTATGTAGGACGAAGTTTGTAAAACTGGATGGAAAAAAAAATTAAGCGTTTTGGGGGAACAGACTTGTTTGTTTTTTAAATGCCGCCCTCCCCAAGTTTATCAAACAGCCATCTCTAATCCAGACTTTGCTATGAAACCTTTAAGGGTTATATACAAATATTTTAGTGTAGACGTAGTGTGGATCCACATAGATTGAAGTGCCCATGTTGACCAGTTGTTTGATAGGCATTTCTTAGGAGTTGATTGACAACAAAATATGCACAATTTATGGATAACAACTTCTTTAATATACCCACATATGACATCTAAATGCCTCTCAACAAGTAAATTACATATCAACTTATTGCTACAGATACTTATACCATTATCTTGCTTGACAACGGCATAAAGATCTACACTGAAACATTGCTGTAATAGCATTTATCATCCAAAACTGGCTCCCACAGGAGATATTGCTTGGATTAGATCAAGCATGTCATCGATCCCAATTTCGTGGATCGATGCTCATGATATTAATCACTGGATTGTCTGGTCCAGACTCAATTATTTACAGACCGCCGTCATAAAAGCTGGAATATTGCTGAGTGCGGCGTTAAACAACAAACCAACCAACCAACCATTTAAGACGACAAGGTTGTATTTTCATGCTAGCATACAAACACTCCTCACAACAGATTAGAAGAACACAATCACAACAGAAGCTGATGCTGGCGATCTCACCCATTGCCCACACTCACTCTTCAGTCCAGATTAATCAGCCCCAACCATGAAGTGAGACATCATGCCCACACCTCCCTCTCCCTTCCCCCACCGCCCTCTCCCTTCCCACACCGCCCTCTCCCTTCCAAAACCGCCCTCTCCCTCACACCCCCTCCCTCCCTCTATATCTGAAGCTTATTCCATATCCCTTAAGGGAACATCTATATCTGAAGCTTATTCCACATCCCTTAAGGAAACATCTATATCTGAAGCTTATTCCACATCCCTTAAGGTAACATCTATATCTGAAGCTTATTCCACATCCCTTAAGGTAACACCTATATCTGAAGCATATTCCATATCCCTTAAGGTAACATCTACATCTGAAGCTTATTCCATATCCCTTAAGGAAACATCTATATCTGAAGCTTATTCCATATCCCTTAAGGAAACATCTATATCTGAAGCTAATTCCATGTCCCTTAAGGAAACATCTATATCTGAAGCGTATTCCACATCCCTTAAGGTAACATCTATATCTGAAACTTATTCCATATCCCTTAAGGTAACATCTATATCTGAAGCATATTCGATATCCCTTAAGGTAACATCTATATCTGAAGCTTATTCCACATCCCTTAAGGTAACATCTATATCTGAAGCTTATTCCATATCCCTTAAGGTAACATCTATATCTGAAGCTTATTCCATATCCCTTAAGGAAACATCTATATCTGAATCTTATTCCATATCCCTTAAGGTAACATCTATATCTGAAGCTTATTCCATATCCCTTAAGGAAACATCTATATCTGAAGCTTATTCCATATCCCTTAAGGAAACATCTATAAGGTAACATCTATATCTGAAGCTTATTCCATATCCCTTAAGGAAACATCTATAAGGTAACATCTATATCTGAAGCTTATTCCATATCCCTTAAGGTAACATCTATATCTGAAGCTTATTCCATATCCCTTAAGGAAACATCTATAAGGTAACATCTATATCTGAAGCTTATTCCATATCGCTTAAGGAAACATCTATATCTTTAGCGTATTCCATATCCCTTAAGGTAAAATGTATATCTGAAGCTTATTCCATATCCCTTAAGGAAACATCTATATCTGAACCTAATTCCATGTCCCTTAAGGAAACATCTATATCTGAAGCTTATTCCATATCCCTTAAGGAAACATCTATATCTGAACCTAATTCCATGTCCCTTAAGGAAACATCTATATCTGAAGCGTATTCCATATCCCTTAAGGAAACATCTATATCTGAAGCTTATTCCATGTCCCTTAAGGAAACATCTATATCTGAAGCTTATTCCACATCCCTTAAGGAAACATCTATATCTGAAGCTCATTCCATATCCCTTAAGGAAACATCTATATCTGAAGCTTATTCCATATCCCTTAAGGAAACATCTATATCTGAAGCTTATTCCATATCCCTTAAGGAAACATCTATATCTGAACCTAATTCCATGTCCCTTAAGGAAACATCTATATCTGAAGCGTATTCCATATCCCTTAAGGTAACATCTATATCTGAAGCATATTCGATATCCCTTAAGGTAACATCTATATCTGAAGCATATTCCATATCCCTTAAGGTAACATCTATATCTGAAGCATATTCCATATCCGGTATAGTTTATGCAAGTTTATCCAGACGTGGCCAAAATGTAGGTTTGAAAGAACCAATGACTGCCAGATTCTCTCTATTTCTGAGGGATGATGGCCCGGTGGACTACAGGTCGATGAGGTTCTTGATGTCGGAGATGATGGCCCGGTGGACTACAGGTCGATGAGGTTCTTGATGTCGGAGATGACGGCCCGGTGGACTACAGGTCGATGAGGTTCTTGATGTCGGAGATGACGGCCTGGTGGACTACAGGTCGATGAGGTTCTTGATGTCGGAGATGACGGCCCGGTGGACTACAGGTCGATGAGGTTCTTGATGTCGGCGATGACGGCCCGGTGGACTACAGGTCGATGAGGTTCTTGATGTCGGAGATGACGGCCCGGTGGACTACAGGTCGATGAGGTTCTTGATGTCGGCGATGACGGCCCGGTGGACTACAGGTCGATGAGGTTCTTGATGTCGGAGATGACGGCCCGGTGGACTACAGATCGATGAGGTTCTTGATGTCGGAGATGACGGCCCGGTGGACTACAGGTCGATGAGGTTCTTGATGTCGGAGATGACGGCCCGGTGGACTACAGGTCAATGAGGTTCTTGATCTCGGCGATACGGGTCTGCCGCCGCTGCTCCACGGTCTGCTTCTGTCCAAACGCTCCATTCATCAACTGGCGCTTCTTCTCCTGCAGCTGCAACATCCTCTCCTCCACCGACTCCTCCACCAGGAACTGAACAAGAATTTATTTATTTGTTTATTTGTTTGTTAACACATATTTTAAGCCTTCAGTTAACTACTCATAGCCATAAATAGCTATTTCAATATGGCTGACAAGGCAGCCATATTGAAAATCACTTTTGAAATCCTTGGACAAACTGGCATGGCATTGGTGAGAACAGGCATGTGCAATTTCAGCTAAACTGGCTGAGGGGTTTCCAGGGGGGATGCCGTGTGTGTGAGGAAATGTATTGAGAGATATTAGGAACATGGTCCAAATGTAAAGGTCAAATAACAGTTAAACTTAAAAATATCATGAAAAATGAAACATATTACTAGAAGACCAACCGGTAGGTTCCGTGACCAAATCATGGAAACAAAGGTTTGAAAGTGTTTTTGAGTTTCCTGATGTATACTGAACAATTTTGACTTTCGATTTTCAAGGTCAAGGTAACCCTTTTTACTTTTAAAAGTTGCTTGGTTGAATTTGCCATGTCAGAAAATATATTATTAGACACTAAAATCATGACTATCGGACAATGTTAACTGTGTTTGTGAATTTCACCGACTGCCAAAAGTGCGTTGACCTTTCAAAGTTTTTGGCCAAAGCTACCCCATTTAAGGTCTGAAGTATAACAAACTATATATTTCTAGGTTCCTTATGACTGGACGAGTAATTTGATACGCATATCGACACAATTTTGAATTTTGACCCCTGTTTGACCTTTGTTGACCCTTCCCCAAAATGCCCGGGATTTTCAACCGGGCAGCCCAAGTCAAAATTGTTCAGTATACATCAGGAAACTCAAAAACACTTTCAAACCTTTGTTTCCATGATTTGGTCACGGGACCTACAGGTTGGTCCTTGATTATATATGTTGACCCAAAAAACAATTGCACATGCACCAAATTTTGAAAAAATAGGTTCGGATGTTTTGGGGATGATACTGAAAATCCAATTAATACAAGAACAAATTTGGGTGTCATCAATGGTGGAAAGGTTTCAGCTTCATTGGTCCAACTGGTTCAGAGGAGATGTTGCTGAAGGTCTACAGACTAGCACATCAACTACCCAGCTGGCTCACACACGCACATTGGCCTCTACTCCTACGTGAAACTTTAACTCACTCACTCACTCAACATCCTTCCCAGGGGAACAGGTCGCCCCGTCATCTCGATTCACTGTGCAGAAATGCTTGGGGATTCCTGTCCATATTAAACTCAAACACCAGGATAAAACAGGATTTAGGGCTTGGATGAGTCTAAATTTACCCCCCTGGGACCCACCACCCTAGAACCTATCAAGAGACAGGTACAAACTGTCCGATTGGGAAACATTTTACCGTAGCCCTGGCAAAATGTATTTAGATACTCTTGTAAAATGATCTGGTCATGCATACACTGAAGTTTACTGCATGAAGATTAATTTTTATTGAAACATATAAAAGTCAGAAGGAATGGGTGCATTGACAGAAAGAAATTGGAACATTAGTGACTTATAGTGTAACCATAGAGTTTTAGATACTTTTTGTCATTAAACAATATATCACGTGACTAACCATGGGTCCAGGTAGTCCTGTGGGTACCCGGGGCCTACTCAGTACCCACCCGACCCGAGTACCTGCGTTACCCGCCCCAGCCCTAACAGGAATACAGTTCACTTCAGAACCCAACCCACTCACTCACATAATTTACCTTGGTAATGGTAACATCCCTGGTCTGACCCAGACGATGACATCGATCAAAGCACTGCTCCTCCGATGCTGGGTTCCAAGCCTGAGTGAAGGAGAGATTCACAAGGTAAGAACAGCCTACATTAGTTACCTGTGTCAAAACATCCACGACCCTGGTACAAAAGCAAACTTAAAGACACATGACAGTCACAATAAGGTGAGGTGAAATGGGGTTTAACGTCGCGTCCAAGATTATTGCACTTATATAGCGACGTGCATGTACGTGTGTGTGTGTGGCTGCTTATACTAGTCCGGACTGATGCCGATTGATAGTGCTAGCTCACTGAGATACCATGCCACAGTTTAACATGAATACCCCACTCAAAGACAGTATACTGACTCCAAGCCGACAAGTCCTTGTTTTAGCCCCTTAATGCCGAGCGCCAGACAGGGTAACAACAAGTACCATCTTTTAACGTCTTTTGGTATGACGCGGCCGGGAATTGAACTCCGGACCTTCCGCTCTCCGGGCGGACGCTCTACCCCTAGACTACGGAGGCAGTCCAGTCACAATAACCTCATGACAACCACTGGCTTGTTAGTTTGTTCCTTGAAGTCAACAGGGACATATGTAAACTAGCCACATAAAGAAACTGTGCACGGAGAAAATATAGATATAAGGGCACACCGTCCATACACGAAATATAGGTTTGAACACAGCAATTATTTGAGAAATTCAAACACTCATGCACGTGCCATGCGATATGACGTCATTGATGGGGGCCTATGGACTTGCAATGTGTTACTGCACGTGCATCCTGTGCAGCTGTACACAGCATGTGCAACTCAAAATTCGCTGTCACTTTGGAAAGCATGATCTGTGGTCATTCAAAAATTCAAAACTTCTCAGGTGTAGACACAAGCAAATCATGCCAAGATTGACAGCTGCACAGCGTCACGAAGCCATTTGAATGATCCGAGTAGGAATGAGGCAACAACAGGTGGCAACACATTTCCAATGCCATCGTAACACGATATCGGCATTGGTGAGGCGTTATCAGAACACAAATGACGTTGCCGACCACCCATGTTCAGGACGTCCCCGAGTAACGACGCCTAAACAGGACAGATGCATTCGAGTAACACATCTCCGACACAGGTTCCAAACGGCAGTAACGACGTCCTAGACAATTCCTCGATTGCGCCGTATCCATCCCAACACTGTCAGGAATCGTTTAAGTCAGTACGGGATTCGACCACGACGCCCTGCCATATGTCCCATCCTGACACACCGTCATCCAGTTGACCGTCTAAGATGGTGTCGAAATCATGTTCGCCAACCTCAAATATGGTGGAGAAATGTTGTCTTTACAGATGAATCGAGGTTCAACATTTCCCACAGTGACGGGCGCCAACTTGTCTACCGGCGTTTGGGAGAACGTTATGCATGCAACTGTATTTTGGAGAGGAATCATTTTGGAGGTGGCTCTGTGATGATTTGGGGTGGGATAACAGCACGGCACCGAACCCCTTTGGTGGTTGTTCAGGGCAATCTCACCGGTGTTGGCTACAGAGATCAGATTCTGAGGCCTGTGGTCATTCCTTTCCTGCAACGTCATGGCCCGGGATTGACATTTCAACAGGACAACGCTCGTCCTCACACGGCTAGGGTCGCAATGGATTTCCTTCACCATAACAATGTCATGTTACTGCCATGGCCTGCAATTTCTCCAGATCTCTCCCCAATAGAGCATGTGTGGGATGAAATGGAGCGCCGTCTGCGTCGTCTTCCACATCCTCCAGATAACGTCCGTGACTTGGCACAGGATTTGAGGAGGATATGGCAGGCCATTCCCCAGGCCTTCCATGACCATTTGGTGAGTCCATGCGTCGCCGATGCACTGCTGTGATTCACGCACAGGGTGGTCATACCCGTTATTGACTTTGTGACTTTGTCGTATGACCCCCTACTCCATTTTGATCTTCTGACGTCATCGTAACAGATGTTGTTCAGGTCCCATTGACATTTTCTTACGGTCCGATCATTCAGCTGCTACAGCGTCTGCATCATTTTGTTCTTGCTGTGTTGTATCTCAATCCAGAATATATTTTCTCCGTGCACAGTTTCTTTATGTGGCTAGTATAGATTCCGGAACAATGATTAACAGAGCCGAGGTATTCTAGACTTGCCAAATCATTCAATACATGTACTTGAGTTGGATTCAATTTTACTTTATTATCTAGGTAGATAGACTAGGACATTTGTGAGTGAGAGAGTATGTGTTTACAACACTTTTAGCAACATTCCAGAAATATTCCAGCAGGGGACAACACCAGAAATGGGCTTCACACATTGTACCAATTTTGGGAATCAAACCCTGGTCTTAAGCGTGATGAGCGAACACTTAACAACAAGGCTACCGGACCGTGCCAGGACTCTTGTGACATGTTAGCTTAAGCATTATGATGCCATGACATCTTTGGAGGTTTCGCCAGCACTCTTGTGACATGTTACATTAAGCATTATGATGCCATGACATCTGTGGAGGTTTCGCCAGCACTCTTGTGACATGTAACATTAAGCATTATGATGCCATGGCATCTGTGGAGGTTTCACCAGGACTCTTGTGACATGTAACATTAAGCATTATGATGCCATGACATCTGTGGAGGTTTCACCAGCACTCTTGTGACATGTAACATTAAGCATTAAGATGCCATGGCATCCGTGGAGGTTTCGCCAGCACTCTTGTGACATGTAACATTAAGCATTAAGATGCCATGACATCTGTGGTGGTTTCGCCAGCACTCTTGTGACATGTAACATTAAGCATTATGATGCCATGGCATCCGTGGAGGTTTCGCCAGGACTCTTGTGACATGTAACATTAAGCATTATGATGCCATGGCATCTGTGGAGGTTTCGCAGATGACTTTTATTGTGGTTTTCCAAAAAGGGGTGGCCTGAGAGCCTGATTCTTAATGAGTAATGATAAACCTTCTTATCTTGATTGCATGAGTGGTTGTTGTTAGACATTGCAAATATCTGGACCAGGCCAAGCAGCAACCAGCACAGCCAACAATCTGCAGTCTCCGGACATGACCACCCAAACCATCCTACTCCACCCTTGTCAGATGCAGGAGAGTCCAGGTCCTGCTTGTGTGTTGTTTAATGCCACACAATATTCCAAGTATATGATGGTGGCATCAACATGTTGCCGGGGACTAGTTCTAGCCCAGAATCACTACAGATTTGTTCTAGGTCCAAAGCCTCATTGACTCATCCTTAACGGCCCTTGAATCTCAGCATCAGCCTTGCCTACTCTCCATTAACCTGGAGGCCCTACTGCAGAGTCTGTAATAATCTTAAAACCCAACAAGACAGTTGGACAGGTGACCCATAAATGTTGCCTGCCCATCGTCAAAGTTGCCTGCCTGCACTCAAAGAGTATTTAAATAGTGAAAAAATGCCAAACGAATTTGAGAAATCACGTCTTGATTCAGTTGAAATAATACAAACAATTACTTGAGAATCTACAAGGAGACATATAAAACTGAATCTGTAACTAAACAGTCTTAAAACTATCTGCCAGACAGTCGGGCAGCTGGAGGAAAATTTCAAAATTAATCAAAATCTTAAGAAAATAACTGCCACCATGGTCTCGTGGACAGTGTCTGTCCGGGGGTTCAATCCCCAGGCTTGTCATACCAAAAGACGTTTAAAGATGGTACTTGTTGTTACCCTGCCTGGAGCTTGACATTAAGAGGCTAAAACAGGGGTCAGATTGGATGCTGTATCGAGTGAAATATTAATATAAGCTGCGGCATGGTATCTCAGTGGGCTAGCACTATAAAATCTACATTAGTCCGGACTAGTACAAGCAGCCAAACACACGTGCATGCACATCGCTATATAAGTGCAATAATCTTGAATGTGACGATGACCCTCATTTCACCTCACACCTTGACTCAAAAACAGATAGTTCCACTTAAATCTGTGACACACTCACTGGGTCCATGAGAAACACCCTGGATGCTGCCGTGAGGTTCAGACCAACACCGCCAGCTTTCAACGACAGGAGGAAGATTGTCGGAGTCTCGGGGGCTGTCTCTGAGAATTCCTGAATGGCTGCCGTTCTTTTTCCTGCAGACATAGTGCCATCCAAGCGAGCAAACTTGAAGCCATTAGCTCTGGAAGAAATCAACAGTGAGTCAGCAAGTATTGATTCAAGAAACTTCATTTAACTTGCACCAAGTGCATGTTGGCATGTGACGTGAGGTGAAACGGGTTTAAACGTCGCATCCAAGATTATTGCACATATATAGCGATGTGCATGCACACATTTTTTTGTGTGAAACGGGTTGAGATTGAACCCAGGACCTTCCGCTCTCCGGGCGGACGCTCTACCTCCAGACCGCGGAGGCTCTACCATCAGACCGCGGAGGCTCTACCTCCAGACCGCGGAGGCTCTACCGCAGAGGCTCTACCACCAGACCGCGAAGGCTCTACCACCAGGCCGCGGAGGCTCTACCTCCAGACCACGGAGGCTCTACCTCCAGACCGCGGAGGCTCTACCGCAGAGGCTCTACCACCAGACCGCGGAGGCTCTACCACCAGGCCGCGGAGGCTCTACCACCAGGCCGCGGAGGCTCTACCACCAGACCGCGGAGGCTCTACCACCAGACCGCGGAGGCTCTACCACCAGACCGCGGAGGCTCTACCACCAGGCCGCGGAGGCTCTACCTCCAGGCCGCGGAGGCTCTACCACCAGGCCGCGGAGGCTCTACCACCAGGCCGCGGAGGCTCTACCACCAGGCCGCGGAGGCTCTACCACCAGGCCGCGGAGGCTCTACCTCCAGGCCGCGGAGGCTCTACCTCCAGACCGCGGAGGCTCTACCTCCAGACCGCGGAGGCTCTACCACCAGACCGCGGAGGCTCTACCACCAGACCGCGGAGGCGGTCAGATGACATGTGCACCTAGTTGCACCGGACAAAATAACATTGAACTCAAAGTTATCAATGATGATACAAAGATTCATAAAGTGACTAAGTATGTCTTAGATCTCTGATTACTGTGTCATAAATATCGCTGTAATACGTCAATAATGATTGTCGTCGTGCTTAAAGCAAGGGTTGAACACAAATTTGAATGTTTTTAACATGCACTTGGGGGATGTAGAAATAAAAATAAGGTTGCACTTTTCAATAATAGGTTGCACTGGTGCCTGTTTTGTATAGCTAAATGAGCCCTAGTCAGACAAATCACAGACATATCAAACCAGTCCCACATCTAGACAGGATTCACAGATATACCAGCTTCACAGACAGACCAACGTCACAGATAGACCAGCGTCACAGATATACCAGGGTCACAGACAGACCAGCTTCACAGACAGATCAGCATCACAGATATACCAGCGTCATAGATAGACCAGCTTCACAGATATACCAGCGTCACAGATATACCAGCGTCACAGATATACAAGCGTCATAGATAGACCAGCGTCACAGATATACAAGCGTCATAGATAGACCAGCGTCACAGATATACAAGCGTCATAGATAGACCAGCGTCACAGATATACAAGCGTCATAGATAGACCAGCGTCACAGATATACAAGCGTCATAGATAGACCAGCGTCACAGATATACAAGCGTCATAGATAGACCAGCGTCAAAGAGAGGTCAGCATCACAAACAGGCCAGCTTCACAGACAGACCAACGTCACAAACAGACCAGCTTCACAGACAGACCGGTGCCACAGACAACATACCTATCCCACAGACAACATAAGGCATGGCATACCTAAGTGGTACCTCGAGAAGCGTGAGGAACGAGGTAAACTGTGACACAACCAGGCTCTTTACTGTCGGGTCTTCTGTCCTCAGCTTCACAAGCCCGCTCATCAGTGCATCGACCTGCAGCAGTGAGGGAACGGGTGAGTGGTGAGTGATGAGTGGGTGAATGGGTCGGTGAGTGGGTGAATGGGTCGGTGAGTTTATAAGTGGGTGAATGGGTCGGTGAGTTTACAAGTGGGTGAATAGGTCGGTGAGATAAGGAATGGGTGAATGGGTTGGTGAGTTTATAAGTGGATGAATGGGTCGGTGAGATAAGGAGTGGGTGAATGCGTCAGTGTGATAAGGAGTGGGTGAATGCGTCAGTGTGATAAGGAGTGGGTGAATGCGTCAGTGTGATAAGAAGTGGGTGAATGCGTCAGTGTGATAAGGAGTGGGTGAATGCGTCAGTGTGATAAGGAGTAGGTGAATGGGTCGGTGAGTGAGTGAATGGGTCGGTGAGATAAGGAGTGAGTGAATGTGTCGGTGAGTTCATAAGTGGATGAATGGGTCGGTGAGATAAGGAGTGGGTGAATGGGTCGGTGAGTTGGTGAATGGGTCGGTGAGTTTATAAGTGGGTAAATGGGTCGGTGACTTTATAAGTGGGTGAATGGGTTGGTGAGTTTATAAGTGGGTGAATGGGTCGGTGAGTTTATAAGTGGGTGAATGGGTCGGTGAGTTAATAAGTGAGGAAAAGGGTCGGTGAGTTTATAAGTGGGGGAATGGGTCGGTGAGATATGGAGTGGGTGAATGGGTCGGTGAGTTTATAAGTGGGTGAATGGGTCGGTGAGATAAGGAGTGGGTTAATTGGTTGTTGAGTTGATAAGTGGGTAAATGGTTCGGTGAGATAAGGAGTGGGTGAATGGGTCGGTGAGTTGGTGAATGATTCGGTGAGATAAGGAGTGGGTGAATGGGTCGGTGAGTTGGTAAGTGGGTGAATGGGTCGGAGAGTTTGTAAGTGGGTGAATGGGTCGGTGAGATAAGGAGTGGGTGAATGGGTCGGTGAGTTTGTAAGTGGGTGAAAGGGTCGGTGAGATAAGGAGTGGGTGAATGGGTCGGTGAGTTTGTAAGTGGGTGAATGGGTCGGTGAGATAAGGAGTGGGTGAATGGGTCGGTGAGTTTGTAAGTGGGTGAATGGGTCGGTGAGATAAGGAGTGGGTGAATGGGTCGGTGAGTTTGTAAGTGGGGGAATGGGTCGGTGAGTTTATAAGTGAGGGAATGGGTTGGTGAGATAAGGGGTAGGTGAATGGGTCGGTGAGTTTGTAAGTGGGTGAATGGGTCGGTGAGTTTGTAAGTGGGTGAATGGGTCGGTGAGATAAGGAGTGGGTGAATGGGTCGGTGAGTTTGTAAATGGGTGAATGGGTCGGTGAGATAAGGAGTGGGTGAATGGGTCGGTGAGTTTGTAAGTGGGTGAATGGGTCGGTGAGATAAGGAGTGGGTGAATGGGTCGGTGAGTTTGTAAGTGGGTGAATGGGTCGGTGAGATAAGGAGTGGGTGAATGGGTCGGTGAGTTTGTAAGTGGGTGAATGGGTCGGTGAGATAAGGAGTGGGTGAATGGGTCGCTGAGTTTGTAAGTGGGGGAATGGGTCGCTGAGTTTATAAGTGAGGGAATGGGTTGGTGAGATAAGGGGTAGGTGAATGGGTCGGTGAGTTTGTAAGTGGGTGAATGGGTCGGTGAGTTTATAAGTGGGGGAATGGGTCGGTGAGTTTATAAGTGAGGGAATGGGTTGGTGAGATAAGGGGTAGATGAATGGGTCGGTGAGTTTATAAGTGGGGAAATGGGTCGGTGAGTTTATAAGTGGGGGAATGGGTTGGTGAGTTTAAAAGTGGATGAATGGGTTGGTGAGTTAAGGAGTGGGTGAATGGGTCGGTGAGTGGGTCGGTGAGTTTATAAGGGGGTAAATGGGTCGGTGAGTTTATAAGTGGGTGAATGGGTTGGTGAGTTTATAAGTGGGTGAATGGGTCTGTGAGTTTATAAGTGGGGAAAAGGGTCTGTGAGTTTATAAGTGGGGGAATGGGTTGGTGAGATAAGGGGTAGGTGAATGGGTCGGTGAGATATGGAGTGGGTGAATGGGTCGGTGAGTTTATAAGTGGGTGAATGGGTCGGTGAGATAAGGAGTGGGTGAATTGGTTGGTGAGTTGATAAGTGGGTAAATGGTTCGGTGAGATAAGGAGTGGGTGAATGGGTCGGTGAGTTGGTGAATGATTCGGTGAGATAAGGAGTGGGTGAATGGGTCGGTGAGTTGGTAAGTGGGTGAATGGGTCGGTGAGATAAGGAGTGGGTGAATGGGTCGGTGAGTTTGTAAATGGGTGAATGGGTCGGTGAGATAAGGAGTGGGTGAATGGGTCGGTGAGTTTGTAAGTGGGTGAATGGGTCGGTGAGATAAGGAGTGGGTGAATGGGTCGGTGAGTTGATAAGTGGGTAAATGGTTCGGTGAGATAAGGAGTGGGTGAATGGGTCGGTGAGTTTGTAAATGGGTGAATGGGTCGGTGAGATAAGGAGTGGGTGAATGGGTCGGTGAGTTTGTAAGTGGGTGAATGTGTCGGTGAGATAAGGAGTGGGTGAATGGGTCGGTGAGTTTGTAAGTGGGGGAATGGGTCGGTGAGTTTATAAGTGGGGGAATGGGTTGGTGAGTTTAAAAGTGGATGAATGGGTTGGTGAGTTAAGGAGTGGGTGAATGGGTCGGTGAGTTGGTGAATGGGTCGGTGAGTTTATAAGGGGGTAAATGGGTCGGTGAGTTTATAAGTGGGTGAATGGGTTGGTGAGTTTATAAGTGGATGAATGGGTCTGTGAGTTTATAAGTGGGGAAAAGGGTCGGTGAGTTTATAAGTGGGGGAATGGGTTGGTGAGATAAGGGGTAGGTGAATGGGTCGGTGAGATAAGGAGTGGGTGAATGGGTCGGTGAGTTTATAAGTGGGTGAATGGGTCGGTGAGATAAGGAGTGGGTGAATTGGTTGGTGAGTTGATAAGTGGGTAAATGGTTCGGTGAGATAAGGAGTGGGTGAATGGGTCGGTGAGTTGGTGAATGATTCGGTGAGATAAGGAGTGGGTGAATGGGTTGGTGAGTTGGTACGCTGGTGAATGGGTTGGTGAGTTTGTAAGTGGGTGAATGGGTCGGTGAGATAAGGAGTGGGTGAATGGGTCAGTGAGTTTGTAAATGGGTGAATGGGTCGGTGAGATAAGGAGTGGGTGAATGGGTCGGTGAGTTTGTAAGTGGGTGAATGGGTCGGTGAGATAAGGAGTGGGTGAATGGGTCGGTGAGTTTGTAAGTCGGTGAATGGGTCGGTGAGATAAGGAGTGGGTGAATGGGTCGGTGAGTTTATAAGTGGGTGAATGGGTCGGTGAGTTTGTAAGTGGGCGAATGGGTCGGTGAGTTTATAAGTGGGGGAATGGGTTGGTGAGTTTATAAGTGGGTGAATGGGTCGGTGAGTTTATAAGTGAGGGAATGGGTTGGTGAGATAAGGGGTAGGTGAATGGGTCGGTGAGTTTATAAGTGGGGAAATGGGTCGGTGAGTTTATAAGTGGGGGAATGGGTTGGTGAGTTTAAAAGTGGATGAATGGGTTGGTGAGTTTATAAGTGGGGGAATGGGTTGGTGAGATAAGGAGTGGGTGAATGGGTCAGTGAGTTTATAAGTGGGGGAATGGGTTGGTGAGTTTATAAGTGGGGGAATGGGTTGGTGAGTTTATAAGTGGGTGTATGGGTTGGTGAGTTTAAAAGGGGTGAATGGGTCAGTGAGTTTATATGTGAGGGAATGGGTTGGTGAGATATGGAGTAGGTGAATGGGTCGGTGAGTTTATAAGTGGGTGAATGGGTCGGTGAGTTTATAAGTGGGGGAATGGGTCAGTGAGTTTATAAGTGAGGAAATGGGTTGGTGAGATAAGAAATGGGTGAATGGGTCTGTGAGTTTATAAGTGGGTGAATGGGTCGGTGAGTTTATAAGTGGGTGAATGGGTTGGTGAGATAAGAAATGGGTGAATTGGTCGGTGAGTTTATAAGTGGGGGAATGGGTTGGTGAGATAAGAAATGGGTGAATGGGTCTGTGAGTTTATAAGTGGGGGAATGGGTTGGTGAGATAAGAAATGGGTGAATGGGTCGGTGAGTGGGTGAATGGGTCGGTGAGTTTATGAGTTCAGCCAAAGAGCAACAAGAGATACACATTATTCATCAAAAAATACTCAGGCCTGAGAAGCTAAGATCCTTGAAATCCAAAAAAACCTTACCTTTGCACTCGACTGCCAGTCAGCAAGGTAATTTGGTTCGGAGCTTTGCTCTGTTTGGAACTCGGAAGGCACTTCAATCAGCTTGGCTTCATCGATGTTCCCTCTGCACAGAGGACACTTTGAGTTGGGCTGAAATGAGTGAGCCAGTATGGTTTTACGCCACTTTTAGCAATATTCCAGGAATATCATTGTGAGGGACATGTAAGCGCTAAAGCGACCACAAGACCCAATTTCTGACAGAGACTTAAAAGATTTACCTTAGTGATAGCGCACAAAACAATATACCGTATATCGCTACCTACAAAGTGACCCCACGGATAAGGCGACCTACGTTTTAGGCGACCCCACGTTTTAGGCAACCCCATGTTTATAGTGAGTGAGTGAGTGAGTGAGTATGGTTTTACGCCGCTTTTAGCAATATTCCAGCAATATCACGGCATGGGACACCAGAAATGGGCTTCAAACATTGTACCCATGTCGGGAATCGAACCCGGTTCTTCGGCGTGACGAGCGAACGCTTTAACCACTAGGCTACCCGAACGCCCCCCATGTTTATAAGGCGACCCCACAGATAATGCGACCCCACGTATAAGGCGACCCTAAGGCGCCTTCAAAATCGATGCTTATTTATATACCCCATCCATAAAGGGAATCGGAATGAAGCACGTCAGCAGCGCATACTGTTGTCAGATCTTCCAATCACTTCACATACGATTACATCGAAATGAATATAAACAACATAGAATGAAATTTTGAATATACTTAATAGAATAGATTACAAACATCAGTCCAGATACTTTATGGACTTTTTTTATAACCAGACTGTGTAATTACATGATAAGTTTGTGTACTTCAGTATAGATTTGTTGACATGGTATTCTGGTGTTACGTGCTCACAGCAATGTCTTTGTGTTGGGGAAAAAACATCAAAACTCTTCAACCCTGTGTATAAGGCGACCGTAAAACCTGAACTCTGATGAAGACTAACTATAGTCATACGATCTTAAAACAACTATATGTTCTATACTCCAACAAACAATTACGATTGTTATAGCGCATAGAGCCATCATAGCACTGAAACGTTCATTAGTCTTTATCAACAATGGCTTACAAAGTTGTCGCTAAGATCTCTCATGGTGTCACTCTCCATCAACAAACCTTCTCGTTGTTGATGACTGCAACAATGCACTTCCGGCAGTAGACGTGAGCACATGGGGTGATCACAGGGCTCTTCAGGCTGTCCAGACACACGGCGCATTCCTCGTCGGACCCCGACTTCAGCACCATCAGCAACGTCTCCACCAACTTCTGCCTCACCTCATCGATGTTCTCTCCCCTGTCCATCTTGTCTGCAACAACAGACGTGTTTGATGTCATAAACAGACACAGCAGCTATGCTGCTTCTGGATAATAAGGGTATAACACATTTGTTTGTTTGTTTGTTGATTAACGCTGCACTCAGCAATACTTCAGCTACATCAAGGCAGTCTGTAAATAATAAAAGTCTGGACCAGACAATCCAGTGATTGACATCATGAGTATTGACCTACAAAATTGGGATACGATGACATGCATCAATCAAGTCAGCGAATCTGACCACGGGATCCCATTAGTCGCCTGGTACAACAACAATCCTCTTTTACTACAGGGTTGGGGTCTAACACAAACCAGTGATTGACATTGTGAGCCATGTCCAGTTTGTGAATGTCACCTGCAAGTTGAGAAGTTCCGTGCAATTAGTTCCCCAAGACAACTATACCAAAATAACTTTCATAGCTAGAAAAAGACAAAATCGTAAAATCTTGGGAAAAACAGAGAAAAAAATAACTGAGAAAATTGGAATAAATGGATCGTGATGGATCTTACATTCCCCAATCCTGTACAATCCCAGCCTATTCCCAACACAGGAACAATCCCAGCCTATTCCCAACACCTTTACAATCCCAGCCTATTCCCAAAACCTGTACAATCCCAGCCTATTCCCAACACCTGTAACATCCCAGCCTATTCCTAACACCTGTACAATCCCAGCCTATTCCTAACACCTGTACAATCCCGGCCTATTCCTAACACCTGTACAATCCCAGCCATTTCCTAACACCTGTACGATCCCGGCCTATTCCTAACACCTGTACAATCCCAGCCTATTCCTAACACCTGTACAATCCCAGCCTATTCCCAACACCTTTACAATCCCAGCCTATTCCTAACACCTGTACAATCCCGGCCTATTCCTAACACCTGTACAATCCCAGCCTATTCCTAACACCTGTACAATCCCAGCCTATTTCTAACACCTGTACAATCCCAGCCTATTCCTAACACCTGTACAATCCTAGCCTTTTCCTAACACCTGTACAATCCCAGCCTATTCCTAACACCCGTACAATCCCAGCCTATTCCTAACACCTGTACAATCCCGGCCTATTCCTAACACCTGTACGATTCCAGCCTATTCCCAACACCTATACAATTCCGGCCTATTCCTAACACCTGTACAATCCCAGCCTATTCCTAACACCTGTACCATCCCAGCCTATTCCTAACACCTGTACCACCCCAGCTATTCCCAACACAGGAACAATCCCAGCCTATTCCCATCACCTCTACCATCCCAGCCTATTCCCAACACCTGTACCATCCCAGCCTATTCCCAACACCTGTACCATCCCAGCTATTCCCAACACAGGAACAATCCCAGCCTATTCCCATCACCTGTACCATCCCAGCCTATTCCCAACACCTGTACCACTCAGCCTATTCCCAACACCTGTACTATCCCAGCCTATTCCCATCACCTGTACCATCCCAGCCTATTCCCAACACCTGTACCACTCAGCCTATTCCCAACACCTGTACCATCCCAGCCTATTCCTAACACCTGTACCACTCAGCCTATTCCCAACACCTGTACAATCCCAGCCTATTCCCAACACCTTTACAATCCCAGCCTATTCCTAACACCTGTACAATCCCGGCCTATTCCTAACACCTGTACAATCCCAGCCTATTCCTAACACCTGTACAATCCCAGCCTATTTCTAACACCTGTACAATCCCAGCCTATTCCTAACACCCGTACAATCCCAGCCTATTCCTAACACCTGTACAATCCCGGCCTATTCCTAACACCTGTACGATTCCAGCCTATTCCCAACACCTATACAATTCCGGCCTATTCCTAACACCTGTACAATCCCAGCCTATTCCTAACACCTGTACCATCCCAGCCTATTCCTAACACCTGTACCACCCCAGCTATTCCCAACACAGGAACAATCCCAGCCTATTCCCATCACCTCTACCATCCCAGCCTATTCCCAACACCTGTACCATCCCAGCCTATTCCCAACACCTGTACCATCCCAGCTATTCCCAACACAGGAACAATCCCAGCCTATTCCCATCACCTGTACCATCCCAGCCTATTCCCAACACCTGTACCACTCAGCCTATTCCCAACACCTGTACTATCCCAGCCTATTCCCATCACCTGTACCATCCCAGCCTATTCCCAACACCTGTACCACTCAGCCTATTCCCAACACCTGTACCATCCCAGCCTATTCCTAACACCTGTACCACTCAGCCTATTCCCAACACCTGTACAATCCAAGCCTATTCCCAACACCTGTACCATCCCAGCCTATTCCCAACACCTGTACCATCCCAGCCTATTCCCAACACCTGTACCATCCCAGCCTATTCCCAACACCTGTACCATCCCAGCCTATTCCCAACACCTGTACCATCCCAGCCTATTCCAAACACCTGTACCACTCAGCCTATTCCCAACACCTGTACCATCCCAGCCTATTCCCAACACCTGTACCATCCAAGCCTATTCCCAACACCTGTACCATCCCAGCCTATTCCCAACACCTGTACCATCCCAGCCTATTCCCAACACCTGTACCATCCCAGCCTATTCCCAACACCTGTACCACTAAGCCTATTCCCAACACAGGAACAATCCCAGCCTATTCCCAACACCTGTACCATCCCGACTGTTCAACAACGTTACCTAGGAAGTCTTGTGTGTCCTTGACAGCCTCAGCAGCCCTTGCCACCAGGGAAGGATGGCAGCACATCTGCCGCAGCCTCATCAGGATGGCCAGCACCTGGCCATAGTTGTGCAGCAGCGTGCCCTCACGGAAATACCTGACCAACAGACACCAGTCACTCATCACGGAAATACCTGACCAACAGACACCAGTCACTCATCACGGAAATACCTGACCAACACAGACACCAGTCACTCATCACGGAAATACCTGACCAACACAGACACCAGTCACTCATCACGGAAATACCTGACCAACACAGACACCAGTCACTCATCACGGAAATACCTCACCAACACAGACACCAGTCACTCATCACGGAAATACCTGACCAACACAGACACCAGTCACTCATCACGGAAATACATGACCAACACAGACACCAGTCACTCATCACGGAAATACCTGACCAACACAGACATCAGTCACTCATCACGGAAATACCTGACCAACACAGACACCAGTCACTCATCACGGAAATACCTGACCAACAGACACCAGTCACTCATCAAGGAAATACCTGACCAACACAGACAACAGTCACTCATCACGGAAATACCTGACCAACACAGACACCAGTCACTCATCACGGAAATACCTGACCAACACAGACAACAGTCACTCATCACGGAAATACCTGACCAACACAGACACCAGTCACTCATCACGGAAATACCTGACCAACACAGACACCAACCACTCATCACGGAAATACCTGACCAACACAGACACCAGTCACTCATCACGGAAATACCTGACCAACACAGACAACAGTCACTCATCACGGAAATACCTGACCAACACAGACACCAGTCACTCATCACGGAAATACCGGACCAACACAGACACCAGTCACTCATCACGGAAATACCGGACCAACACAGACACTAGTCACTCATCACGGAAATACCTGACCAACACAGAAACCAGTCACTCATCACGGAAATACCTGACCAACACAGACACCAGTCACTCATCACGGAAATATCTGACCAACACAGACACCAGTCACTCATCACGGAAATACCTGACCAACACAGACACCAGTCACTCATCACGGAAATACCTGACCAACACAGACACTAGTCACTCATCACGGAATTACATGACCAACACAGACACCAGTCACTCATCACGGAAATACCTGACCAACACAGACACTAGTCACTCATCACGGAAATACCTGACCAACACAGACACTAGTCACTCATCACGGAAATACCTGACCAACACAGAAACCAGTCGCTCATCACGGAAATACATGACCAACACAGACACCAGACACTCATCAGGGAAATACCTGACCAACACAGACACTAGTCACTCATCACGGAAATACCTGACCAACACAGACACCAACCACTCATCACGGAAATACCTGACCAACACAGACACCAGTCACTCATCACGGAAATACCTGACCAACACAGACACCAGTCACTCATCACGGAAATACCTGACCAACAGACACCAGTCACTCATCAAGGAAATACCTGACCAACACAGACAACAGTCACTCATCACGGAAATACTTGACCAACACAGACACCAGTCACTCATCACGGAAATACCTGACCAACACAGACAACAGTCACTCATCACGGAAATACCTGACCAACACAGACACCAGTCACTCATCACGGAAATACCTGACCAACACAGACACCAACCACTCATCACGGAAATACCTGACCAACACAGACACCAGTCACTCATCACGGAAATACCTGACCAACACAGACACAAGTCACTCATCACGGTAATACCTGACCAACACAGACACCAGTCACTCATCACGGAAATACCGGACCAACACAGACACCAGTCACTCATCACGGAAATACCGGACCAACACAGACACCAGTCACTCATCACGGAAATACCTGACCAACACAGAAACCAGTCACTCATCACGGAAATACCTGACCAACACAGACACCAGTCACTCATCACGGAAATATCTGACCAACACAGACACCAGTCACTCATCACGGAAATACCTGACCAACACAGACACCAGTCACTCATCACGGAAATACCTGACCAACACAGACACTAGTCACTCATCACGGAATTACATGACCAACACAGACACCAGTCACTCATCACGGAAATACCTGACCAACACAGACACCAGTCACTCATCACGGAAATACCTGACCAACACAGACACCAACCACTCATCACGGAAATACCTGACCAACACAGACACCAACCACTCATCACGGAAATACCTGACCAACACAGACACCAGTCACTCATCACGGAAATACCTGACCAACACAGACACTAGTCACTCATCACGGAAATACCTGACCAACACAGACACCAACCACTCATCACGGAAATACCTGACCAACACAGACACCAACCACTCATCACGGAAATACCTGACCAACACAGACACCAGTCACTCATCACAGAAATACCTGACCAACACAGAAACCAGTCAATCATCACAGAAATACCTGACCAACACAGACACCAGTCACTCATCACGGAAATACCTGACCAACACAGACACTAGTCACTCATCACGGAAATACCTGACCAACACAGAAACCAGTCACTCATCACGGAAATACCTGACCAACACAGAAACCAGTCACTCATCACGGAAATACCTGACCAACACAGAAACCAGTCACTCATCACGGAAATACCTGACCAACACAGACACCAGTCACTCATCACGGAAATACCTGACCAACACAGACACCAGTCACTCATCACGGAAATACCTGACCAACACAGACACCAACCACTCATCACGGAAATACCTGACCAACACAGACACCAGTCACTCATCACGGAAATACCTGACCAACACAGACACCAGTCACTCATCACGGAAATACCTGACCAACACAGACACCAACCACTCATCACGGAAATACCTGACCAACACAGACAACAGTCACTCATCACGGAAATACATGACCAACACAGACACCAGTCACTCATCACGGAAATACCTGACCAACACAGACAACAGTCACTCATCACGGAAATACCTGACCAATACAGACACCAGTCACTCATCACGGAAATACCTGACCAACACAGACACCAGTCACTCATCACGGAAATACCTGACCAACACAGACACTAGTCACTCATCACGGAAATACCTGACCAACACAGACACTAGTCACTCATCACGGAAATACCTGACCAACACAGACACCAGTCACTCATCACGGAAATACCTGACCAACACAGACAACAGTCACTCATCACGGAAATACATGACCAACACAGACACCAGTCACTCATCACGGAAATACCTGACCAACACAGACAACAGTCACTCATCACGGAAATACCTGACCAATACAGACACCAGTCACTCATCACGGAAATACCTGACCAACACAGACACCAGTCACTCATCACGGAAATACCTGACCAACACAGACACTAGTCACTCATCACGGAAATACCTGACCAACACAGACACTAGTCACTCATCACGGAAATACCTGACCAACACAGACACCAGTCACTCATCACGGAAATACCTGACCAACACAGACACCAGTCACTCATCACAGAAATACCTGACCAACACAGATACCAGTCACTCATCACGGAAATACCTCACCAACACAGACACCAGTCACTCATCACGGAAATACCTGACCAACACAGACACCAGTCACTCATCACGGAAATACCTGACCAACACAGACACCAGTCACTCATCACGGAAATACCTCACCAACACAGACACCAACCACTCATCACGGAAATACCTGACCAACACAGACACCAACCACTCATCACGGAAATACCTGACCAACACAGACACCAGTCACTCATCACGGAAATACCTGACCAACACAGACACTAGTCACTCATCACGGAAATACCTGACCAACACAGACACCAACCACTCATCACGGAAATACCTGACCAACACAGACACCAACCACTCATCACGGAAATACCTGACCAACACAGACACCAGTCACTCATCACGGAAATACCTGACCAACAGACACCAGTCACTCATCACGGAAATACCTGACCAACACAGACACCAGTCACTCATCACAGAAATACCTGACCAACACAGACACCAGTCACTCATCACGGAAATACCTGACCAACACAGACACCAGTCACTCATCACGGAAATACCTGACCAACACAGACACTAGTCACTCATCACGGAAATACCTGACCAACACAGACACTAGTCACTCATCATGGAAATACCTGACCAACACAGACACTAGTCACTCATCACGGAAATACCTGACCAACACAGACACCAACCACTCATCACGGAAATACCTGACCAACACAGACACCAACCACTCATCACGGAAATACCTGACCAACACAGACACCAGTCACTCATCACAGAAATACCTGACCAACACAGACACCAGTCACTCATCACGGAAATACCTGACCAACACAGACACCAACCACTCATCACGGAAATACCTGACCAACACAGACACCAGTCACTCATCACGGAAATACCTGACCAACACAGACACCAGTCACTCATCACGGAAATACCTGACCAACACAGAAACCAGTCACTCATCACAGAAATACCTGACCAACACCAGAGACCATATAATAGAGGGACGGCCCTCTAGCCTATGCGCGAAACCATCAGTGCTACGGCTTGTACTGCGCAGCCTGTCCGGAAGCGAGCAGAAACGCGTTCACTGCAGTCATCGTTGTCGCCTTTTTTTCCGATGCAAAAGATATATTTCACAATACATAATTACACTCATATATTTCTTAACATTGTTAACATTACAACTGAGATTTGTTGGTGCCCGAAAGCATGTCGTTGTCACTGTATTTGGTGACTGTGATCACGCTTTGTCTTTGTCCGAGAGAACAAAATGGCGCACATGTAAAATCGGCAAAAGTGCAGATTTTGATTTTCAATAACGGCCTCTAATTCGCAATGAAAGTCCTTGGTTACTTAGGTGTATAAAAAGGAGATATGTTAAAAATTGGCTTAGTGCCATTAACAAATTTAGGGCGGATCCGAAATTTCAGATTTTGACTCCAGAAATGGGACTAAATCTGAATTTTCCCGAAATAATTACACCACAACTCTTAATTTTCGCATGCTTTCAGACGAATGTGTTCCTATTATCGGTCCTGAATTTAATAGTTTTACATTCATCACGATTTCCCCTATGGCTTGGTACCAACGTTATTTAGATACGATCGGTAGTTTTTTTAGTATGATTTTTGGCGCAATGCCATATTTTACATCACATATTTTAAGTTAAATTACCATATAGCAGACGACATAACATGCATTTTGTCTGTGATTATCATCCGCATATATCCTTTGAAACATTCTACAAAGTGACTTATATTGTATGATATTAGAATTGTTTTTGTAAAACGCGTATTTTTTTTACCATTGCTTTCGCCATTTCTTCGTAAGTTTAACTTTGTTTCAGTTAGGCCTTATCACATATCGCGCATATACTACATACTACAATACTACATATTTGTTATCTTCTGTAGATTTTGTCTGTATAAATCATGGCTACATTTAATCAATTATTTATTTTATGCCGTGTAAATATTGATAGTGAGCAAAATGATATTGGCCTAAACCCAATCATAATAATGTAAATATGATGAAGGTATCAATGAAAACATCATACAAAAATAAAAATCCGTTACATGAAATATATGTATAATAAAATTATCATTTGCTTTGTAAATGCCAAGAAAGAAGAAGGATTATATCGGCAGTCGTCGGGAGAGAAGTTCCAGACAACAAGGTCGAAGGTGTCATTCAGTAAAATATATAGATGGTCTATTGAATTTTGAAAACAACAAACGTTACTACAGTTTACGATATACTAGTACATATCTGGTCCCATGCTCGTTGAAGCTATATTGTTATACCTGAAATACCTAATTATTTGTATGCTGAAATATCAATCTAATCGGGTAATATCGGAATATTTGGAATTTAACAGTAGCCTCCGTTTGAAAAAAAACTTACCTCGCTCCAGCAAACCCCATTATCACTGCTAGCCCCAAACTGGCATTAACCAATAACTTTTGATTCTTTCGAAGCCCATTGTCGGACACATCGAAAATTCATTTAACAACGCTCGTAGTTTAATGTGTATTTCTAATTCATTGGAACTATTAGCATTATAAAATAGTAGCGAATTTACATGAAATAAAAACATTAATATGGCGTCATTTTTTTTCTGGCTAAAAGTAAAGCATTTACACCAGTCGGTGATCATGCATTTTTGCAAGTAAATCTAGTCTGGACTTATTATAAGATATGAAGTTAATATGGAGATATATTTTGTGAACATCGAGAATATGGTGATATGTTACAAGTGTCTTCCCTGCTTCTGGATGCGTTTTATTTACACTTCCTGAGTTCCTGTGCAATTTACCGGATCGTAGTTTTCTGTGGCGTTCGTAGTAGATTTGGTATATTTGTTTATTTATAATAGTTATCAATTGCAGCATAAAATGAGATATATTAACTGATTTTTAAAACAAATAGAATACTTTATAAAATACTTTTGATATCGGAACGGCTTTTTCTTCACACGCCCTCGAAAACTTACGCTTGTGGACAGACGTCATATTTTCATTTCCTATCTTTTTCTTTGAGTGAAACTTTTCGGGAGGTATTTACCAACGGCTTGGTAGCGGTAACATCACTGTCATTCTATTTAGACCAAGAGTCATCCAAAACCAACCCCTGGTCGAAGAGAGGGAATTCTTCAAGTGGCATATCTAGGTCCAAGACGAAATCGTCCAAGTTAATGAAGTCGTCCATGGCTGTGGCGAATGTAAATTGAAATAAATGTCCCGGAAGACACACATGTTCAGCAAATAATTTGCAGCCAACTGACATGTGCTAATGATTGATATCATAAAAAAATCTTTGTAATCCGCTAAGAGACGTCCTTTTATTGGATTGTCGCTGGTCGTAGTCGGAGAAATCTCGGCTAAGGGAATTAACTCTTACCCCGGATATTATATAATATTGTTTACGTGGTTACCAGAATGGTCAGTCGTGAATGTCTGCGCATCTATTGCGCATCTGCAGCGGTACAGGGAGGTTAACAGCAGGGTGTCGGGGTGTATCAGTTACATGCCAGACCGTAGCGCTGATGGTTTATGATAAACTGTTGGGGAGGGCCGTCCCTCTATTATATGGTCTCTGCCAACACAGACACCAGTCACTCATCACGGAAATACCTGACCAACACAGACACCAGTCACTCATCACGGAAATACCTGACCAACACAGACACCAGTCACTCATCACGGAAATACCTGACCAACACAGACACCAGTCACTCATCACGGAAATACCTGACCGACACAGACACCAGTCACTCATCACGGAAATACCTGACCAACACAGACACCAGTCACTCATCACGTTTGGACATAGAAAGGAGCAGCTCCGTCCAAACCTTCCCCATCAGAAACAGTAATGTTGGCTGTCACTGTCACCCATGCACAATGCAGCACAACTTGGAAACAAAGCCCTATGCTTTGAGCCAGCTTATTAACAAATTTGTAAAATTTTAAGATTTTTTACATTTGTATACTTATCCTGCATTACTCCTTAATGCATATACTGCTGCTTTTGGACATAAAGAGGAACTGTGAGAGGTACAGCTGCTAAAGACAAGTTGTTCCAACCAGTAACTGGCAGCAGCCTCGCACAGTCGGCACGTGACTCAGAATCGATGACGTCACATCAGAGCACATAATGCAGGACAAGTAAAAAAATGTATAGCAATAAGCACTTGTTTTAATAACATCATTTTTGGTTCAGTACACCTTCGGAACAGAAAGAAAGTCCTATGCCTCCAGCTATCTTTTTAACAAAAGCTGTAGGTACTTCCAGCATTAGGGTCTTAACCTACAATCTCTGAACATAAACTGCCAACAGATCGTCTATAAAGTTTTGTCAAATTCCAATAATAAATTCTCAAGATGTACACAAGCATATTAGAATTTCTTTTTCACACCACGTTACCTTGACCTTCCTAAAACAGAATAAAACAAGTATTGACTTTTAATTTATGTTCGTAAGGTGTGATCGGGTAGCCTAATGGTTAAAGCGTTTGCTCGTCACACCGAAAACCTGGGTTCGATTCCCGACATGGGTACAATGTGTGAAGCCCATTTCTGGTGTCCCATGCCGTGATATTGCTGAAATATTGCTAAAAGCGGCGTAAAACCATGCTCACTCACTTGTTTGTTTGTTGTTCAACACCACACTCAGCAATATTTCAGCTATTTTGTTGATAGCGCCAAATCTAACTCACATTCCGATTGGTCCATTAAGACTGAGTAGCATAGCAAATTAAATTGGCTAATGAAGATCACGGATGGGTATTTTGAGATCACAAGAACCAAGGGCGGGTAACTTCAGATCGCAAGAACTAAGGGCGGGTAACTTCAGATCGCAAGAACCAAGGGCGTGTAACTTCAGATCACAAGAACCAAGGGCGGGTAACTTAAGATCACAAGAACCAAGGGCGGGTAACTTCAGATCACAAGAACCAAGGGCGGGTAACTTCAGATCGCAAGAACCAAGGGCGGGTAACTTCAGATCACAAGAACCAAGGGTGGGTAACTTCAGATCGCAAGAACCACGGGAATGGATCAAGGGGTTAGTGTGAGTTTACGGAAATGCGACCCGGGTGATCTAGAGGATGGGGTAAAGTAAAAGATACACATCTTGCAGGGTCGGGCAGATTGCTTGAAACAAAGGCTTTCTCAGGGTTCAACCTATGTGTGAGTCTCGTACTTGCTGATGAGAAGTTTGCCTTCATTCTGCATGACTGTGTAGACCTTCCTCTCCTCCTCTGACAGCTGGATGCGTTCAATGAAGGTGTCCCGAGCCGGTAGCTCCACGAGGGGCTTGTTGTTTATCTTCATGGTCTTCGTGCGGCGTAGCGCGATGTTGGCCATCAGGTGCTGCACACGTCTGGGAACATGGCAAGTTAGTGCATTACGGGAATTATTAGGACACCCCTTTCTCATCCTTAGGGCTAGTTGCAACTTAAGGTGAGCAATAGCAACTCCTTAAACAAATGTTTCCTAAATTTGTACATTCACTGAGTACTTAATCACGAGATAAATGACTCTTTTATTTCCAGTGGTGAAGTGTGGTCTAATAAAACATTAGCCCAGATTGTCATTTGATGGTTGGTTGGTTTGTTGTTTAACGCCACACTCAGCAATATTCCAGCTATATGACGGCGGTCTGTAAATAATCCAGCCTGGACCAGACAATCCAGTGATTGATATCATGAGCATCGATCAACGTCATTTGAAGCTTCTATTTCTTAAAAAGGGGATGGCATCCTATTGTTTTTACTTGGCCTTGTTGTAGAATAAGCTCTAGAGAGTATTCTACGGAATGTCCCTCTATCACTCCATATTATCTTTTTGCAGTTTTGAGCACACTCCATTTAACACAGATTAAAATTTTGACTAAATAAAATGTGCGGAATGATATGAAATCAAACGACAGATGTTACATGTATGTATTTCTGCGGGGCTGAACCTGTTACCTTGGTACTTGTAGTCTAGTCAGTGAACACGTAGACTAGTGAGGCACTGGTCAACCACGATGCTTTTAAAAATCTCTTTTCCAAGTACACGTACAACAGTAAGAGCTGTTTGAAACAAACTTGTTAATGAAAGTTGTTTCAGATCTTTCTTTTCACTTACAAGACAGATAAAAACCACTATCCCTCAGGTTCAGTAAAAACAGTAAACACCCATAGAGTGTGCCTGTAACCTCAAAAAGAAATAACGTGATTGGAAAAACAGACTGGGGATAGGTAATGAAAGGGTGTTCAATCATGTCTACATACGTCACATCGTTTCTCTTGCCCGCTATCTTCGGATTTGTTTTATACCGTGACTAAACTAAAATTCAACAGTTTCAACAAAAACGTTGTAGGCAAGTCATGTCCTTTCCACACAGCCCTAATTCTCACTTGAGAGCACACTTGTCCCCGCGTGCGAGCGGCCTCTCGATGGTACGGTACCACCACTGTCGCTCTGTGAGTGGCGAGATCTGCAGGAAGTTGATCAGGGACCATAGATCCTTCATCGAGTTCTGAATCGGAGTTCCTGCAACAGAATAAGTCTTGAAATTAAAGTGTGCTGCAAGGCCGTCTTGTTGTTGCTAGTTATTTTTTAGGCATAAATGAGAAGTTTAATTAATGCGAGAAAAGACCACTTGCATTGTTCGCATTAAATTCATGCTCGTGTAAATTTTAAGATTTACAGTTTACTGGTCCACTCGCGTGAGAGAATGAATGTTGTCTTGCAGTGATCAAGCTCTGAGCCTGTATAACTCTTGCCTTGGACGGCCAGTTTACTGGTCCACTCGCATAAGAGAATGAATGTTGTCTTGCAGTGATCAAGCTCTCTGAGCCTGTATAACTCTTGCCTTGGACGGCCAGTTTACTGGTTCACTCGCATGAGAGAATGAATGTTGTCTTGCAGTGATCAAGCTCTCTGAGCCTGTATAACTCTTGCCTTGGACGGCCAGTTTACTGGTTCACTCGCGTGAGAGAATGAATGTTGTCTTGCAGTGATCAAGCTCTCTGAGCCTGTTTTACTCTTGCCTTGGACGGCCAGTTTACTGGTCCACTCGCGTGAGAGAATGAATGTTGTCTTGCAGTGATCAAGCTCTCTGAGCCTGTGTAACTCTTGCCTTGGACGGCCAGTTTACTGGTCCACTCGCGTGAGAGAATGAATGTTGTCTTGCAGTGATCAAGCTCTCTGAGCCTGTATAACTCTTGCCCTGGACGGCCAGTTTACTGGTCCACTCGCGTGAGAGAATGAATGTTGTCTTGCAGTGATCAAGCTCTCTGAGCCTGTATAACTCTTGCCTTTGATTGCCAGTTTACTGGTCCACTCCCGTGAGAGAATGAATGTTGTCTTGCAGTGATCAAGCTCTCTGAGCCTGTATAACTCTTGCCTTGGACGGCCAGTTTACTGGTCCACTCGCATAAGAGAATGAATGTTGTCTTGCAGTGATCAAGCTCTCTGAGCCTGTATTACTCTTGCCTTGGACGGCCAGTTTACTGGTCCACTCGCGTGAGAGAATGAATGTTGTCTTGCAGTGATCAAGCTCTCTGAGCCTGTATAACTCTTGCCTTTGATTGCCAGTTTACTGGTCCACTCGCGTGAGAGAATGAATGTTGTCTTGCAGTGATCAAGCTCTGAGCCTGTATAACTCTTGCCTTGGACGGCCAGTTTACTGGTCCACTCGCGTGAGAGAATGAATGTTGTCTTGCAGTGATCAAGCTCTCTGAGCCTGTTTTACTCTTGCCTTGGACGGCCAGTTTACTGGTCCACTCGCGTGAGAGAATGAATGTTGTCTTGCAGTGATCAAGCACTCTGAACCTGTATAACTCTTGCCTTGGACGGCCAGTTTACTGGTCCACTCGCGTGAGAGAATGAATGTTGTCTTGCAGTGATCAAGCTCTGAGCCTGTATTACTCTTGACTTGGACGGCCAGTTTACTGGTCCACTCGCGTGAGAGAATGAATGTTGTCTTGCAGTGATCAAGCTCTCTGAGCCTGTATAACTCTTGCCTTTGATTGCCAGTTTACTGGTCCACTCGCGTGAGAGAATGAATGTTGTCTTGCAGTGATCAAGCTCTCTGAGCCTGTATAACTCTTGCCCTGGACGGCCAGTTTACTGGTCCACTCGCGTGAGAGAATGAATGTTGTCTTGCAGTGATCAAGCTCTCTGAGCCTGTGTAACTCTTGCCTTGGACGGCCAGTTTACTGGTCCACTCGCGTGAGAGAATGAATGCTGTCTTGCAGTGATCAAGCTCTCTGAGCCTGTATAACTCTTGCCCTGGACGGCCAGTTTACTGGTCCACTCGCGTGAGAGAATGAATGTTGTCTTGCAGTGATCAAGCTCTCTGAGCCTGTATAACTCTTGCCTTTGATTGCCAGTTTACTGGTCCACTCCCGTGAGAGAATGAATGTTGTCTTGCAGTGATCAAGCTCTCTGAGCCTGTATAACTCTTGCCTTGGACGGCCAGTTTACTGGTCCACTCGCATAAGAGAATGAATGTTGTCTTGCAGTGATCAAGCTCTCTGAGCCTGTATTACTCTTGCCTTGGACGGCCAGTTTACTGGTCCACTCGCGTGAGAGAATGAATGTTGTCTTGCAGTGATCAAGCTCTCTGAGCCTGTATAACTCTTGCCTTTGATTGCCAGTTTACTGGTCCACTCGCGTGAGAGAATGAATGTTGTCTTGCAGTGATCAAGCTCTGAGCCTGTATAACTCTTGCCTTGGACGGCCAGTTTACTGGTTCACTCGCGTGAGAGAATGAATGTTGTCTTGCAGTGATCAAGCTCTCTGAGCCTGTTTTACTCTTGCCTTGGACGGCCAGTTTACTGGTCCACTCGCGTGAGAGAATGAATGTTGTCTTGCAGTGATCAAGCTCTCTGAGCCTGTGTAACTCTTGCCTTGGACGGCCAGTTTACTGGTCCACTCGCGTGAGAGAATGAATGTTGTCTTGCAGTGATCAAGCTCTCTGAGCCTGTATAACTCTTGACTTGGACGGCCAGTTTACTGGTCCACTCGCATGAGAGAATGAATGTTGTCTTGCAGTGATCAAGCTCTCTGAGCCTGTGTAACTCTTGACTTGGACGGCCAGTTTACTGGTCCACTCGCGTGAGAGAATGAATGTTGTCTTGCAGTGATCAAGCTCTGAGCCTGTATAACTCTTGCCTTGGAGGGCCAGTTTACTGGTCCACTCGCGTGAGAGAATGAATGTTGTCTTGCAGTGATCAAGCACTCTGAACCTGTATAACTCTTGCCTTGGACGGCCAGTTTACTGGTCCACTCGCGTGAGAGAATGAATGTTGTCTTGCAGTGATCAAGCACTCTGAACCTGTATAACTCTTGCCTTGGACGGCCAGTTTACTGGTCCACTCGCGTGAGAGAATGAATGTTGTCTTGCAGTGATCAAGCTCTGAGCCTGTATTACTCTTGACTTGGACGGCCAGTTTACTGGTCCACTCGCGTGAGAGAATGAATGTTGTCTTGCAGTGATCAAGCTCTCTGAGCCTGTATAACTCTTGCCTTTGATTGCCAGTTTACTGGTCCACTCGCGTGAGAGAATGAATGCTGTCTTGCAGTGATCAAGCTCTCTGAGCCTGTATAACTCTTGCCTTGGACGGCCAGTTTACTGGTCCACTCGCGTGAGAGAATGAATGTTGTCTTGCAGTGATCAAGCTCTCTGAGCCTGTATAACTCTTGCCTTTGATTGCCAGTTTACTGGTCCACTCGCGTGAGAGAATGAATGTTGTCTTGCAGTGATCAAGCTCTCTGAGCCTGTATAACTCTTGCCCTGGACGGCCAGTTTACTGGTCCACTCGCGTGAGAGAATGAATGTTGTCTTGCAGTGATCAAGCTCTCTGAGCCTGTATAACTCTTGCCTTGGACGGCCAGTTTACTGGTCCACTCGCGTGAGAGAATGAATGTTGTCTTGCAGTGATCAAGCTCTCTGAGCCTGTATAACTCTTGCCTTTGATTGCCAGTTTACTGGTCCACTCGCGTGAGAGAATGAATGTTGTCTTGCAGTGATCAAGCTCTCTGAGCCTGTATAACTCTTGCCTTGGACGGCCAGTTTACTGGTCCACTCGCATAAGAGAATGAATGTTGTCTTGCAGTGATCAAGCTCTCTGAGCCTGTGTTACTCTTGCCTTGGACGGCCAGTTTACTGGTCCACTCGCGTGAGAGAATGAATGTTGTCTTGCAGTGATCAAGCTCTCTGAGCCTGTGTAACTCTTGCCCTGGACGGCCAGTTTACTGGTCCACTCACATGAGAGAATGAATGTTGTCTTGCAGTGATCAAGATGGTTGCCATGACTTTGCCAGCCGATGGTTGAGTCTTTAACTTTTTGGGACGGGGTGAAGCAAAGCCAGTCCACTGCTTACTCTGTTCTTTGGTTTCTGGGTCATAGTGTTGTACCCAGGTTTCATCACCAGTAACAATTCTCTCAGTAAAGTTGTCTGCATCCCGACTGCATTGCATCAAAAGTGCCTGACACATTAATGCAAGTACAGCCTTCTGATCATCACTCGGATATTTCGGGACCCATCGGGCAGACAGCTTCCTCATACCCAGATGATCATGCAAAATGGTATGGATACTTCCCTCTGAAATGTCCAAGGCCTTTGCCATTTCTGACACCTTCATTGGCCTGTCTTTGACAACCAGTTGTCTCACAGCTTCACTGGTTTGGTCATTGGTCACCTCTACAGGCCTGCCAGGGCGTGGCTCATCTTCCAGGTTCACCTGACCCCTCTTAAATTCTGCAACCCTGTGCATTCGAAGGTGCACTATCACCATAAACATCTGACAATTCATCATGTATCTCCTTTCCAGGTTTCCCTTTTAAGTAGAGGTACCTAATAACAGCCCTGTATTCAACCTTTGACGAAACTTTGACAGAATCTACCCTTGCCATCTTTATAGATCACATGTGACTTCAAATACAATTTCCTCAGTGAAACTTTGTCTATGCACGTGACATACATTGGTGCACAGCACGTGACAAGCATGCAACCGTTAAGATCTGATAAATAGCTTAGGCTGGTTATATATTGAATGGCCCTCGTATATGCCTTTAGGCTTCCGATGATAAATACATATGTTCTAAGCCTTGAACTCCATTACAGCCATGCCCTGCCGTCCTTCAGTGTGTGGTCTCAGCTCTTCCACCTATCTGTCAGCACCCACCTCTGCTGTCTCAGCTCTTCCACCTATCCGTCAGCACCCACCTCTGCTGTCTCAGCTCTTCCACCTATCCGTCAGCACCCACCTCTGCTGTCTCGGCTCTTCCACTCACCTGTCAGCACCCACCTCTGCTGTCTCAGCTCTTCCACCTATCTGTCAGCACCCACCTCTGCTGTCTCGGCTCTTACACCTATCTCTCAGCACCCACCTCTGCTGTCTCGGCTCTTACACCTATCTGTCAGCACCCACCTCTGCTGTCTCGGCTCTTACACCTATCTGTCAGCACCCACCTCTGCTGTCTCGGCTCTTACACCTATCTGTCAGCACCCACCTCTGCTGTCTCAGCTCTTCCACCTATCTGTCAGCACCCACCTCTGCTGTCTCAGCTCTTCCACCTATCCGTCAGCACCCACCTCTGCTGTCTCAGCTCTTCCACCTATCCGTCAGCACCCACCTCTGCTGTCTCAGCTCTTCCACCTATCCGTCAGCACCCACCTCTGCTGTCTCAGCTCTTCCACCTATCCGTCAGCACCCACCTCTGCTGTCTCGGATCTTCCACTCACCTGTCAGCACCCACCTCTGCTGTCTCAGCTCTTCCACCTATCTGTCAGCACCCACCTCTGCTGTCTCGGCTCTTACACCTATCTCTCAGCACCCACCTCTGCTGTCTCGGCTCTTACACCTATCTGTCAGCACCCACCTCTGCTGTCTCGGCTCTTACACCTATCTGTCAGCACCCACCTCTGCTGTCTCAGCTCTTCCACCTATCTGTCAGCACCCACCTCTGCTGTCTCAGCTCTTCCACCTATCCGTCAGCACCCACCTCTGCTGTCTCAGCTCTTCCACCTATCCGTCAGCACCCACCTCTGCTGTCTCGGCTCTTACACCTATCTGTCAGCACCCACCTCTGCTGTCTCAGCTCTTCCACTCACCTGTCAGCACCCACCTCCGCTGGGTCTTGAGTTCCATCACCGCCTTGGTCTGCTGGGCCTTGGGGTTCCTGATGACATGCCCCTCGTCCAGCACCACCCTCAGCCAGTCCACCTTGTGCAGAGGCCGCTCTCTGGTCTGAAATACACATGTGAGGGTCAAGTCTTCCAACCAGTGATTGAGTCCAACAACTATTCACACATCCAACAACTATTCACACCTCCAACAACTATTCACACATCCAACAACTATTCACACATCCAACAACTGTTGACACCTCCAACAACTATTCACACGTCCAACAACTATTCACACATCCAACACCTATTCACACATCCAACAACTATTGACACATCCAACAACTATTGACACATCCAACAACTATTCACACGTCAAACTATTCACACATCCAACACCTATTCACACATCAAACAACTATTCACACATCCAACACCTATTCACACATCCAACAACTATTGACACCTCCAACAACTATTCAAACATCCAACACATATTCACACATCCAACACCTATTCACACATCCAACACCTATTCACACATCCAACAACTATTCACACATCAACACCTATTCACAACTCCAACAACTATTCACACATCCAACAACTATTCACTCATCCAACAACTATTCACACATCCAACACCTATTCACACATCCGACAACTATTCACACATCCAACAACTATTCACACATCCAACACCTATTCACACATCCAACAACTATTCACACATCCAACACCTATTCACTCATCAAACACCTATTCACACATCCAACACATATTCATACCTACAGGTATACTAGCCACATTAAGAAACTGTGCACGGAGAAAATATAGATATAAGGGCACACCGTCCATATATGAAATATAGGTTTGAACACAGCAATTATTGGAGACATTCAAACGCTCATGCACGTGCCATGCGATATGACGTCATTGATGGGGGCCTATGGACGTGCAATGTGTTACTGCACGTGCATCCTGTGCAGCTGTACACAGCACGTGCAACTCAAAATTCGCTGTCACTTTGGAAAGCATGATCTGTGGTCTTTCAAAAATTCAAAACAGACACAAGCATATCACAAGCAAATCATGCCAAGATTGACAGATGCACAGCGGCATGAAGCCATTGGAATGATCCGAGCGGGAATGAGGCAACAACAGGTTGCAACACATTTCCAATGCCATCGTAACACGATATCTGCATTGGTGAGGTGTTATCAGAACACAAATGACGTTGCCGACCACCCACGTTCGAGTAACGACGCCAAGACAGGACAGATGGATTCGAGTTACACATCTCCGACACAGGTTCCAAACAGCAGTAACGACGTCCCAGACAATTCCTGGACTGCGCCGTATCCATCCCAACACTGTCAGGAATCGTTTACGTCAGTACAGGATTCGACAAAGACGCCCTGCCATATGTCCCATCCTGACACACCGTCATTGAGTCAACCGTCTAAGATGGTGTCGAAATCATGTTCGCCAACCTCGAATATGCAGTGTCCAACCCAGAATTGAAAATCAAGGGGGGACTTGTCCCCCCATCATGTACAAAATAGGGGGGATTTTGAAAAAGTAGGGGGGATAACTGCTTTCTTCAAAAATGTCTTATTTTGTATTATGTACTGGAACATCATCATATAAAAGTGTAACAGATCAGAATAAAGAACTGCTTTTTTTTTAGTCACTAGGCCCGGGATCGATTTCCCCTTCAGTTAGAGAAGTAATTACAGTGACTGTGGTTTCATCATTGTCTTTTTTAGAACATCTATTTTGATTAAAAAAGTCTGTAATTTTTTGTTTTTGTGCGACATTTTCACTATTCAAAAGATCGTCTGCAATGACAGTCGGCGATTCATATTGTGTTATTTCAGAAACGAAACTAAAACGAACTAAAATGCTCAAAAATATTTTCAGAACTATTCAAGAAAGAATATTTATTGTCTTTTAACATCTTGTCAAAGGTTTTTGATTACTAAACAACAAAATACAACATAATTTTGAAGAAAGTTTTGATACGCCTTCTACTAAAGTAAAGTAAATTTCGTTTCCCATGCAAATCCTGTCGATAATTTATTCCAGAACCCAAGGGAAGTAACTCGTGTTCGAACTTCCGGTTATTAACGATCGGTCTTCGACAGTTGTTTACAATGTTTGCTGTGAACTGTCTTTCTTCGTTAATTGATTAAAGATTTAGTGAGTATTGAATCTAAAGGTAGGGACAAACAGCTGATAAAGTAAGTGACTGTTCAAGAAATTACAGTGCGCGACAGATCGCGCTTTGAGTTTTTTATGAGGGGCGATTTGATTTTTTTAGCGTGAATCGCGCAATCGCGCGGTCTGGGTTGGACACTGAATATGGTGGAGAAATGTTGTCTTTACAGATGAATCGAGGTTCAACATTTCCCACAGTGACGGGCGCCAACGCGTCTACCGGCGTTTGGGAGAACGTTATGCACGCAACTCTATTGTGGAGAGGAATCGTTTTGGAGGTGACTCTGTGATGATTTGGGGTGGGATAACAGCACGGCACCGAACCCCTTTGGTGGTTGTTCAGGGCAATCTCACCGGTGTTGGCTACAGAGATCAGATTCTGAGGCCTGTGGTCATTCCTTTCCTGCAACGTCATGGCCCGGGATTGTCAACAGGACAACGCTCGTCCTCACACGGCTAGGGTCGCAATGGATTTCCTTCACCATAACAACGTCATGTAACTGCCATGGCCTGCAGTTTTCCAGATCTCTCCCCAATAGAGCATGTGTGGGATGAAATGGAGCGCCGTCTGCGTTGTCTTCCACATCCTCCAGATAACGTCCGTGACTTGGCACAGGATTTGAGGAGGATATGGCAGGCCATTCCCCAGGCCTTCCATGCCCATTTGGTGGACTCCATGCGTCGCCGATGCACTGCTGTGATTCACGCACAGGGTGGTCATACCCGTTATTGACTTTGTGACTTTGTCGTATGACCCCCTACTCCATTTTGATCTTCTGACGTCATCGTAACAGTTGTTGTTCAGGTCCCGTTGACATTTTCTTATGGTCCGATCATTCAGCTGCTACAGCGTCTGCATCATTTTGTTCTTGCTGTGTTGTATTTCAATCCAGAATATATTTTCTTCGTGCACAGTTTCTTTATGTGGCTAGTATATTTACACATCCAACACATATTCATGCCTACAACAATTTTTTGCAGATCCAACACCTATTCACACATCAAACACCTATTCACACAACTTTCTTTGTTTGTTGTTTAACGCCGCACTAAGCAATATTTCAGCTATATTACGTCGGTCAGCGTCCACTGACCACCCGATCCCGTTAGTCGCCTCTTATGACAAGCAGAGTCACCTTTTACGGCAAGCATGGGTTGCTGAACACCTATTCTACCCCCCCCCGATCTTCACACATCCAACACCTATTCACACATCTAACAACTATTCATGCCTACAACACCTATTCACACATCCAACACCTATTCACACATCCAACAACTATTCACACAACTTTGTTTGTTTGTTGTTTAACGCTGCACTAAGCAATATTCCAGCTATATGACGTCAGTCTGTAAATAATCAAGTCTGGACCAGAGAATCCAGTGATTGACATCATGAGCATCAATCCACGCAATTGGGATCGATGACATTTATCAACAAAGTCAGCGTCCACTGACCACCCGATCCCGTTAGTCGCCTCTTATGACAAGCAGAGTCGGCAAGCATGAGTTGTTGAACACCTATTCTACACCCCCCCCCCCTCCCAGATCTTCACACATCCAACGCCTATTCACACATCCAACACCTATTCATGCCTACAACTATTCACAAATAGTCACAACACCTATTCATGCCTACACCTATTCACAACACCTATTCATGCCTACAACTATTCACAAATAGTCACAACACCTATTCATGCCTACACCTATTCACAAATAGTCACAACACCTATTCATGCCTACACCTATTCACAAATAGTCACAACACCTATTCATGCCTACACCTATTCACAAATAGTCACAACACCTATTCATGCCTACACCTATTCACAAATAGTCACAACACCTATTCATGCCTACACCTATTCACAAATAGTCACAACACCTATTCATGCCTACACCTATTCACAAATAGTCACAACACCTATTCATGCCTACAACTATTCATGCCTACACCTATTCACAAACAGTCACAACACCTATTCATGCCTACAACTATTCACAAATAGTCACAACACCTTGGCATCTGCAGCGAGAGTGGAGTATGTGGTGAGCACTATGTCCTGCTGGGCCAGGACGCTGACGTCCTTGGTGCGACTTCCTCCGTAGTAGGTGTAGATCTCCAGGTGCACGCAATCATGCAGGTGCTCCTCAAACTGGCCCTGGACAGGGGAGAGTGAGTGAGTGAGTTGGGTTCACTTTTATAACAGTGATTCAACTGAATAAGGGACGTCAGCTTGATGTGATGCAGTTCTTAAGGGATATATTAATTCGGTGAAACGGCACATAAACCAAATATGATCAGGCAATACTACCTACCAGCCAGTTCCCGAGCACCGACAGTGGCAGACAATGCTACTACCAACCAGTTACCGAGCACCAACAGGGGCAAACAAAGCTAATTACCAGCCAGTTATCGGGCACCGACAGGGGGGAAGATAATGATACTTCCAGCCAGTTCCCGAGCACCGACAGGGGCAAACAAAGCTAATTACCAGCCAGTTATCGGGCACCGACAGGGGGAAGATAATGATACTTCCAGCCAGTTCCCGAGCACCAACAGGGGCAAACAAAGCTAATTACCAGCCAGTTATCGGGCACCGACAGTGGCAGACAATGCTACTACCAACCAGTTACCGAGCACCAACAGGGGCAAACAAAGCTAATTACCAGCCAGTTATCGGGCACCGACAGGGGGAAGATAATGATACTTCCAGCCAGTTCCCGAGCACCGACAGGGGCAAACAAAGCTAATTACCAGCCAGTTATCGGGCACCGACAGGGGGAAGATAATGATACTTCCAGCCAGTTCCCGAGCACCAACAGGGGCAAACAAAGCTAATTACCAGCCAGTTATCGGGCACCGACAGGGGAAAGATAATGATACTTCCAGCCAGTTCCCGAGCACCAACAGGGGCAAACAAAGCTAATTACCAGCCAGTTCCCGAGCACCGACAGTGGCAGACAATGCTACTACCAACCAGTTACCGAGCACCAACAGGGGCAAACAAAGCTAATTACCAGCCAGTTATCGGGCACCGACAGGGGGAAGATAATGATACTTCCAGCCAGTTACCGAGCACCAACAGGGGCAAACAAAGCTAATTACCAGCCAGTTATCGGGCACCGACAGGGGGAAGATAATGATACTTCCAGCCAGTTCCCGAGCACCGACAGGGGGAAGACAATGCTACTAATCAGCTCTTTTCTGAGCACTGACAGGGTGCATAAATGTTACTTACCAGCCAGTTACTGAGCACCGACAAGGGACAGACAATGAGAGTTGCCCGAGGTCCAGCAGTTTGAGTCCTCCCAGTGGTAAAGTCGCAATTGCTGACACCTAACAAACAAGAATAATAATAATCATATATGTATTTGTATAGCGCAGCATTCACTGTGCTTTGTGCTCTGTGCGCTGAATAAAATTTGAACAATAGTTTGTGGAACAAAATATAAATTTACATTAAATAACTAAATCCTCATGGTTCAGATCCGACAAGCATGGGCTACTGGAGACCAATTGTGACCTACTGGATTCACCATGGACAGACGCCCTATTGCACAAAGCCTTCCGTTTTTCAAGGACACAAGGACCACATGCACAGACGCCCTATTGCACAAAGTCTCTCGTTTTTCAAGGACACAAGGATCACATGCACAGACGCCCTATTGCACAAAGCCTTCCGTTTTTCAAGGACACAAGGACCACATGCACAGACGCCCTATTGCACAAAGTCTTTAGTTTTTCAAGGACACAAGGGCCACATGCACAGACACCCTATTGCACATAGTCTTTAGTTTTTCAAGGACACAAGGACCACATGCACAGACGCCCTATTGCACAAAGTCTTTAGTTTTTCAAGGACACAAGGGCCACATGCACAGACGCCCTATTGCACAAAGTCTCTCGTTTTTCAAGGACACAAGGACCACATGCATGCATGCACAGACGCCCTATTGCACAAAGTCTTCAGTTTTTCAAGGACACAAAATGAGCCAAGTCTACGTTACCTGCTTCATTCCACTGGAAGGGGACCTGGACATCCGGGAGTTCATCATCACCTGCAACACCCGAAGATTGTGTAGAGACCAGGTTTCTTGATACTCCTACTTTCTACCAAGTGACCTTGACCTTCAACATCATCCAATCAGATGCAAGGACATTATATCTTGCAAAATATGGTTGTGTCTCCATCCAATACTATCACTACTTCCTGAAGGAAACTCTTTACAAGTCATCCTATGAGTGAATGACCTTCAATATGACCAGGACATTTGAGTGAGTGAGTGAGTGAGTGAGTGAGTGAGTGAGTGAGTGAGTGAGTGAGTGAGTGAGTGAGTGAGTGAGTGAGTGAGTGACTATAGTTTATTGCCACTTTTAGCAATATTCTAGCAATATCATGGCGAGGGACACCAGAGTGAGTGAGTGAGTGAGTGAGTGAGTGAGTGAGTGAGTGAGTGAGTGAGTGAGTGAGTGAGTGAGTGAGTGAGTGAGTGAGTGACTATAGTTTATTGCCACTTTTAGCAATATTCTAGCAATATCATGGCGAGGGACACCAGAAATGGGCTTCACACATTGTACCCATGTTTGGAATTGAACCCAGATTTTCGGCGTGATGAGGCTGCCCCACCGCCACCTGGACATTTGACACAATCATGACATGTGATAGATGGTGCGTAAATAAATTGGTGAGGAAACAGGAAAACGTACAACTTTATGGACAACTACTTCTGGTTTACTACAAAAGCGATGTTTCGATGTAGATTCTTGTATGTATCGATAGGTGTTGAGTGTGTTACTCTGAGTTCACCTGAAATTATTGCAAAACCATTTAATATGTCATGAAATAGTCCAAAATTTTGTGAAATTTGAACCATGTTTCAGAATTTGATCTCTAGTTACCTTGATCTCACACATAGGTCACCCAAAAGTTAAAATGATCACGAGCCACCTTAAAGATCACACACAACAAGTATCATCCATAAGTACTCAAGTTATCATCTACACAAGCATTTTTGACACCTTGTTTCCACTTAATAACCTTTTCCTTCAAGATCATCCAATCCTAGGTCAGGGGTATATAGTCGGTACATCACATGTGTATCATCCAATCATAGGTCAGGGGTATATAGTCGGTACATCACATGTGTATCATCCAATCATAGGTCAGGGGTATATAGTCGGTACATCACATGTGTATCATCCAATCATAGGTCAGGGGTATATAGTCGGTAGATCACATGTGTATCACCCAATCATAGGTCAGGGGTACGTAGTCGGTACATAACATGTGTATCATCCAATCATAGGTCAGGGGTATATAGTCGGTACATCACATGTGTATCATCCAATCCTAGGTCAGGGGTATATAGTCGGTACATCACATATGTATCATCCAATCATAGGTCAGGGGTACGTAGTCGGTACATCACATGTGTATCATCCAATCATAGGTCAGGGGTATTTAGTCGGTACATCACATGTGTACCATCCAATCATAGGTCAGGGGTATATAGTCGGTACATCACATGTGTATCATCCAATCATAGGTCAGGGGTATATAGTCGGTACATCACATGTGTATCATCCAATCATAGGTCAGGGGTATATAGTCGGTACATCACATGTGTATCATCCAATCATAGGTCAGGGGTACGTAGTCGGTACATCACATGTGTATCATCCAATCATAGGTCAGGGGTATTTAGTCGGTACATCACATGTGTACCATCCAATCATAGGTCAGGGGTATATAGTCGGTACATCACATGTGTATCATCATAGGTCAGGGGTATATAGTCGGTACATCACATGTGTATCATCCAACCATAGGTCAGGGGTATTTAGTCGGTACATCACATGTGTACCATCCAATCATAGGTCAGGGGTATATAGTCGGTACATCACATGTGTATCATCCAATCATAGGTCAGGGGTATATAGTCGGTACATCACATGTGTATCATCCAATCATAGGTCAGGGGTATATAGTCGGTATATCACATGTGTATCATCCAATCATAGGTCAGGGGTATATAGTCGGTACATCACATGTGTATCATCCAATCCTAGGTCAGGGGTATATAGTCGGTACATCTGTCCCGAGCAAGTGGTTGAGAAAACAAACTGCACTGGCAGCGGAGCTCCAATTCAAACAAACACATTGTTTCGTAAGCTATACTAGATCCAATCCATGGTTACATCAGTGGAGTGAGTGAGTGAGTGAGTTAAAATTTAAAGTCGCACTGGCATTATTTAAGCCAAATAGCAACGAGACCAAGTTAATATATTCACAATAGAGTCATTTATGCAAAGTTATATTCAAAAACAATTTATGAAACTTATTTGAGCATAACAATGTCATGCATACACTTTTAAAACATGGGCTATAGGGGGTACATCAGTGGACACCTACTTGAGTCCGTGTCCGACTCGTCCGGGATATACGCTCCTCCATCTTGAGTGATGCTGGAGACTGAGAGGTCCGGCAGGTCCTCCTCCATGTCCAAACAGGGCAGAGGTGGGCAGCTGCCTTCCCGCGTCTTCCCTTTACTCTTCCCCTTTCCTTTCCCCCCGGTCCATGTGGCTCCCTTTCCGCACCCTCGACCTCGTCCGCGACCTCGACCTCTTCCCCGCTCTGCAGCTGGCTCTGACATACAAACATTGCGCTGAATTGGTCCTACTGAAAGAGAGGAACAAATACGATTTGTTTTCAGTTGTTTCCCGCAAGGCAGTATACTGAATGAGCACCCTCCTACAGCAGTTCACCAGCAATCGTCAGTAAGACGAAGACCAGTGTTTGTTGGTCTGTTTGTTCCTTGTTAAAAGCTGAATGCTTTGTTTGTTTGTTGTTTAACGCTGCACTCAGCAATAATCCAGCTAAATGATGGTCGTCTATCAATAATCATGAGCTTTGGGATACGATGACATACATCAGCCTAGTCAGCTAGCCTGACCACCCAATCCTGTTTGTCGGCTCTTGTCAACCTGACCACCCAATTCTGTTTGTCAGCTCTTACGACAAGCATGAGACAGTGAAACACAATGAAACGCAATCAACCTGACGGCCCAATCCCAGCGCTCTAAGCTGTGACTGATGTGATCGCCATGGAAACTGAAAATTCACAACTGGCACTTTTGGTCTCTTTAGGTCCATTACTTAGGATTACTTACATAGAAGATGAGCAGGGAGTGCACATTGGAGTGGGGGTGCACATTTGAGCCGTGGGTGCACATTGGAGCAGGGGTGCACATTGGAGAAGGGGATGCACATTGGAGCAGGGGGTGCACATTGGAGCCAAGGGTGCACATTGGAGCAGAAGGTGCACACTGGAGCAGGGGGTGCACATTGGAGCAGGGGGTGCACATTGGAGCCGGGGGTGCACATTGGAGCAGGGGGTGCACATTGGAGCAGGGGGTGCACATTGGAGCAGGGGGTGCACATTGGAGCCGGGGGTGCACATTTTTTAGCAGGGGGTAATACAGGGAACATGGTGTGTACATTGGAGCAGGGGGTAATACAGGGAACATGGTGTGTACATTGGAGCAGGGGGTAATACAGGGAACATGGTGTGTACATTGGAGCAGGGGGTAATACAGGGAACATGGTGTGTACATTGGAGCAGGGGGTAATACAGGGAACATGGTGTGTACGTTGGAGCAGGGGGTAATACAGGGGGTAATACAGGGAACATGGTGTGTACATTGGAGCAGGGGGTAATACAGGGAACATGGTGTGTACATTGGAGCAGGGGGTAATACAGGGAACATGGTGTGTACATTGGAGCAGGGGGAAATACAGGGAACATGGTGTGAACATTGGAGCAGGGGGTAATACAGGGAACATGGTGTGTACATTGGAGCAGGGGGTAATACAGGAAACATGGTGTGTACATTGGAGCAGGGGGTAATACAGGGAACATGGTGTGAACATTGGAGCAGGGGGTAATACAGGGAACATGGTGTGTACATTGGAGCAGAAGGTGTACATTGGAGCAGGGGGTAATACAGGGAACATGGTGTGTACATTGGAGCAGGGGGTAATACAGGGGGTCATACAGGGAACATGGTGTGTACATTGGAGCAGGGGGTAATACAAGGGAACATGGTGTGTACATTGGAGCAGGGGGTAATACAGGGAACATGGTGTGTACATTGGAGCAGGGGGTAATACAGGGAACATGGTGTGTACATTGGAGCAGGGGGTAATACAGGGAACATGGTGTGTACATTGGAGCAGGGGGTAATACAGGGAACATGGTGTGTACATTGGAGCAGGGGGTAATACAGGGAACATGGTGTGTACATTGGAGCAGGAGGTAATACAGGGAACATGGTGTGTACATTGGAGAAGGGGGTAATACAGGGAACATGGTGTTTTTATTGGAGCAGGAGGTAATACAAGGGAACATGGTGTGTACATTGGAGCAGGGGGTAATACAGGGAACATGGTGTGTACATTGGAGCAGGGGGTAATACAGGGAACATGGTGTGTACATTGGAGCAGGGGGTAATACAGGGAACATGGTGTGTACATTGGAGCAGGAGGTAATACAGGGAACATGGTGTGTACATTGGAGAAGGGGGTAATACAGGGAACATGGTGTGTACATTGGAGCAGGGGGTAATACAGGGAACATGGTGTTTTTATTGGAGCAGGAGGTAATACAAGGGAACATGGTGTGTACATTGGAGCAGGGGGTAATACAGGGAACATGGTGTGTACATTGGAGCAGGGGGTAATACAGGGAACATGGTGTGTACATTGGAGCAGGGGGTAATACAGGGAACATGGTGTGTACATTGGAGAAGGGGGTAATACAGGGAACATGGTGTGTACATTGGAGAAGGGGGTAATACAGGGAACATGGTGTGTACATTGGAGAAGGGGGTAATACAGGGAACATGGTGTGTACATTGGAGAAGGGGGTAATACAGGGAACATGGTGTGTACATTGGAGCAGGAGGTAATACAGGGAACATGGTGTGTACTGTGACGTTGATACGTCAATGGTGCCCAGCTACTTCTAAAGGGAACAACTAACTATCCTCTCAAAAACAACGTCCAATTTACAATGTCATTGAGTTGGGAGCATATGTGAGAAATGATGTCATGAAAGAACAATGTCTTGCAGTAAAATAAACCATGCCAATGTTTTTCATTGTTCTTTGTAATTTATCGTGTAGCTGTCCAGTGTTCAAAATAAAATAAATTGCCAGGCTGCCATCAGCCCCCCCCCCCCCCCTCCCCCCAGACTTTAGAAGCTGCAGGCCCTGACTAACTCTTCTGGCCGTCATTTTGAACAAAGCTGCAGCTTACTGTGACAAAAAGATGGAGACGGAATTTACTGCATGCCATACGGGCCCATACAAATCTGAAACTACAGGACCCGCACAAAATCTCCCTGCCACGTCTACAGGCACTTGTCCCCTACTCCTTGCTAAACTGCCAAATAGTGACGGTATCATAAGGATTACCGGTAGTAGAAATATGCCCTTTCTAAGGGTTTTGCTATATGTTATCATCATAAGGAATAGTAGACGAAAACTGTTAGCTTCTATCCCTGCTGAGACACGTATTACAATCACTGCAGCTATCTTATATTACTTGCTATTATGAGTGAGTGAGTGAGTGAGTGAGTGAGTGAGTGAGTGAGTGAGTGAGTGAGTGAGTGAGTGAGTGAGTGAGTGAGTGAGTGAGTGAGTGAGTGAGTGAGTGAGTGAGTGAGTTGTTTTAAACGCCACTTTTAACAGTATTTCAGTCATATTGTCTCAGATGTTTACCACTTCGGTGAAACCCAAAAGCATGGGTAGTCCATGAGCCAGAGAAAATTTGACTACCAAACAGAGGGACAAATTACCAATATGATTTTCAGCTAGCTTGATGTCTCAACTGTATAATTTCATGTGATGGACATTTCAGATGCCCAGCTAAATACGATTTTGGCGGCCATTTTCCAAGATGGCGGCCATTTTTTCACTTTTTCTACAGATTTCAGAAATAAGCTTATAACACAGAATTTATTAATTTCAGACAACTTTTATTTACTGATATTGTTTCAGCACTACATTGCACACATTCTGTTATGCTTTTTGTATATCATTGAGTTATAATATTTGAGTTAATGTTGACATTATATAAAGAAATTACCCTTTTTAACATTTTTCTGACATCTTTTCTTTCCAATGCAACGTTGTTGAGTAATAATTCACACCTTATGGTAGATAAAAAATGTCTAATGTATTTTCATATATAAAATACCATTTGGAAGTTAAAACACGATAGTGCATAAACATAAGCAGCCATTTTTCAATATAGTCCACTTTTTCACAGATAATTCAAAAATTAAGAAAGTCGTACATATTGCAACCAAAACTTGTTTTTATATTTCCTAGCTAAATTTCCAAGAATCTAAAGTGTTCAAAGTTAAAATGTACACATTCTGATATTACATTTATATGTGTTTAATAATAACATCAAAAGTATACATATAAACAAAATTCCACTTTCATTCCCACCCTTCTGCAATTAAATGGATCTCTAAGAAACATAGATCAATGTCCGGTACCAACTTAGCGTTAAACTTTCAAATAAAAAATAACATTTGCAGACAAATATAACTTGTTCATAATTCAAAAGCCACCACAGTCCTTCTACTTCACAAATCTTCTACTTCTTAAAAATCAGCATCTAGTAATATCAACTCACCATTTTAAACAGGAGACTGTTTGCTAGAGTTTCATGCCGTTGACATTAACATTGTAACACAATTTAGCATGAATATGGCCAGTACTTGTAACAGTTTCAAGAAAATGTCTATAACTAATAGACATTTCAACAATGAGGATGTCTTATTCTGTCCCAAAACCTGCTATGTGATACACATCCAACTGTCAAATTCAGTCATCTTCATCGCTTGAGTCTTCTGCATCTTGATGTATCTCTTCATCATTGTCATCCATGTTGGAGCAGGGTGACAACTTGCAGGCAGAGGTACATTTAAGACCATTTAATATACATGTGCACTCACGTGGTCGACAAGTACGAGAACATCTGCATGACATCAAACCAAGGACCACTTCTGGAGCTGGCAAGCCCGTCATCCATTTGATTGCCAGATTTCCTGTCTCGTTTATTTCCCAACCATGGCCTGCAGAGGGATCTGGTAAGTCTGGAGAATTTTCAAGGCTCCTCCTCCAAACCGCTGACTGGTAATTAGCACGGAGGGTATGCTGGAAAAGCGCATCTTTACATGGTGGCAGCTGTCCAGATTCAACATCCCCGCCTCTACCTCGAAATATCTGGTAACGCAGCTCATTGACCTTGTTTACCGTTGTGTTGCTGCAATATAGCTGACAGGTAAAGGAGTGGATGATCTTAAACACTTCAGGAGAAAGATGCCACTCAGTACCAAGATCTCCAAAAGCCTTTCTGAAAGTTTCATCTCTTAGAAGCAGTTTTAGAGCCCTCAGCTTGCCGTGACCAGCCAATGCACTCAGAGAGTCACATCCAGTCCATGCATGTAGCCCCAATAAAGCTGCACAAGCTTCACTTCCTAAAGCTTCAGCAAGTTTTGTTATGTCCACAAGCCTCAAACGAGCTTTTGTACCTCGTCTGATAATGATTCTGCTGTTGATCTTTGTGCTGAGAGCAAGACAGATAACTAGCACATCTGTGTCATCTGTGACAAGGACCAGGCCTTGATATTCTTCTGAGGCATGCTTAGCATGCAACAGTAAACGAGTATCAGCTTTCTTCGTGGCATGACTCCAGGCGTGTTACATTTTGCCATCCCTCACTCGTTAACTGAATGCACATACTTCCGTGTGTAACAAACATAGTTTTGTTACCGAGCTGTTTACGTCGCCTTAGCTCTTTCCAACTCTGTGCCAGAAATCTAGTGAGGTTGTTCTTACTCTCGGTACATGCAAGAAGTCGTCTCCAGTTTTTCAGTTTGTGTCCTTCTCTTATCTGTGTGAAGATAATGCCTTCAGTTGAACCCCGATTCAGACGCTCAGCTGACTTTATTGACTGTTCCCTGTACACGTCAAACACCACATCAATTCTGTTACATCCCTGACCAGCATGCAACATCTGGGCAAATACTCGATCAGACAGCTCATCAAATGTGTGATTTTCGCCGTGGATTTTCTGAATGATGGCCATAGCATCAAGAAGAGCAGCACTTTGGGTGGGGGTACCATCTGCAAACGACACTTTAGTCTCCAAGTGTTTTGCCAGAGCAGATTTATTTGTCTTTTTCATTGTGCCATCACCATTTGCAAGAGACCAGGGTAGTGGACCTAGAGGGTGGCTCAGCACATCACGCATGTCTAACCTTCTGTTCTGGGCAATGAGAACCATATTTGCAAACACTCTTCTGTCAGCTTTTAGGATGATTTCTGTGTTTGTACACTTGCTTGTTTTCTTGTTAATGTCCGTAAATGATTTCAAATTCATCTTCTTCACGGTGTTGTAGAAACCTTCACCCTTCTGAAGCCGTTCTGCTTGGAACGCCTGATAAGCTTCCTCTCCCTTTTGCCTTGATGTCAAAAGATCGGCAGAAACATCAGGGGGGGCCACTGCTCCAGTGGATATGCAAACAAGATCTGAATCTTCAGAAAGGGGGTTTGTCCAGTTCTCCAATGTATCAACTAATGATCTGATGTCAGATTCATCTCTACGAATGCGTGGCCTGTCCAGGTCTGAATGGCTAAGGGAAGGTGACTGCACTGAAATTTGTTCACGTAGTTGTCTCTGTGCTCTGTGTTCAGCAGTGAGATAGTAGCGTGACACGGTCCCTGGCTTGAGACTGAACCCTCGTGTTCCACCAGCAGTTTGGGTGTCTTTGTTTACAGTTTCTTCTGTGGTCTGATCAACTGCAATCCTGCCAAAGGGATTCATTTTCCTCAGTTGAACAGAGAAACCCTTGTTGCGAAAGTGCTCATACATCCATGGACTTGTCTCCTTTAACCGAGTCATCTGAGCAAAGTACACAGGAAGAAACCGTGCATAGTTGGTTTTGTTCATTGCAAAGCACCAAGGTATGACATTTCTGATGCAAGCAAGATGAAGATGCCAGTCTCCTTCTCTATCAGCACGAAGTAGGCCAAGCAGAATATCCACCATGTCAATGTAAGTCATCCAAAAGGCTGAGAGTTGACCTCTTTCATGGCGCAAGACATTTAGGTGACTCATGAACATTTCAGAAATTTCCTTGTATGATTCATCCCTCAATACATCATCCTGTGATTTATGACAAATGGTCTGATGGAGCTTACCTATTTGGATTTTCGCATCACTCAGCTTTGCTAGGCTTTCAGGATGATGGATCTCAAGCCATTCCACAAATCCATTCCATGCTAGCCTCATCAGGGCTTCATATACCAGCTTGTGCAATGGACTGCTCGATTATACTGTTTTCCCTCCAGTACCTTACTGATAGATCCTTCAGCAATGACTCCGGATTCTACTGCAAGGTCACGAAGTCCTGCATCACCAAACCTTTTTCCAATTGCTGACATGAAATTGCAAATCGTGTGAAAGTTTCCCATCATCAATACAATGCCTTTAAACTTGTCAGGGTTTTTCCACACGATTTCTGTAGCTTTTGAATACAGTGCCTGGTCGAAAACAACAGCAATATTCTGAAGCTGTAGAGATGATTGTACAGCAAGAGATTGATGCAGAATTTCTTGCACAGTTGCCATTTCTGTTGCTGGAGCATTAATTGTGGGCATGTAACCAACTGTATGAGCGAATACCTCCATGTCATCTCTTGTCAGTATGTTATATCCTGTCCAAGAACTTATTGTCTGATTTGTTGGATCATGCATTCTGACAAGAATCCAGAGTAAGTTTTGCTGGTGTGCACTTGTTTTTGCGACTTCAAATTCAGTAGAAAGGTCAGCTGGCACAATGGGGGGTGGACCTTCCCTTTTCCCCACAGTGTAGATAGGAGATTTAAAGTTTTGATCAGCTCAACATTACCTGTCAGTGTTTTTATTACCCATGGCAGAAGAATGTGCTTTGGCGTTATTACTTTGCCAACAGTAACAGCAGCAACAATGTCCTGGGCAATGGACCATGAAAGTCTGCTAATGCGAGTTGAGGGTGTCTCTTTGCCACCAAGTAACAGATTCAGAAACCTTATGACACTACTGGGTAAAGAAGAATATGTGGAATTCAATTCTTCAGGACGTGGAGGCCAAGGCTGTTCTTTGATTTCACTCTTTATTTGTCCACGTAAGAACATCGCTGTATCACTGACTAATGTTTCATATTTATCATCTGACTTTGCATTCAGTTTGTCCTTCAATGAAACATAATCAGCAGCTATAGTTTCAAGCAACAAGTTGTCAGGTCTGATGTATACCCTCCGTCCCACAGTGAAAAAATGCAAAGATTCTTTAAATTCAGCCTCAAGTGTCCGACGAAGATGATACTTAGTTGCATCTGTAACTTCATGAATCCCCTGTTCATTCATTAACATTACAAGATCTGATGTCAAGTCAGTGAGAGGAAGAATACGGGGACTTGAAAAGAGATCATCCCTAATTTTGTCAAACAATATGCTGAGAGCAGCCTTCTCTGATTTTTGATAGGAGTCATCAGATTGTATTTCAGAAGGAATATTTGTTCCTCTTGCTCTTGTATAGTTTTTGTAGCATGTCCTGTGGTAATGTGCTTCTGCTGCAACAATGTCGCGTGATGTAAGAGCGAGGATTCTCTCATCAAGGCGTTCTGTTGCGATCTCACGGACAGTTTTGTCAGCTCTTAGCTCTGCTGCTGGCTTCAAAGGTTCACGGCTGTTTGACCTTTTAATATATTTTGTCTGTCTTTCACAGAAAATACATGTTTTGTCATATACTGTTGAAGGTGCAAGTCCTTTTTTACGAGATTGCCTCGAACAGGAATCCCCAGATTCACTTGCAGAATGTTCTGTTGCTAGTTTAGCCAGTGCCTTTTTATGGGTAAACTCTGATCTACACTTCCTGTGATACTGTACAGTATCAGGCAATGTCTGATCAGCCTCTACAAGTTTAACCAGTGGTTCAAACTGTCTTACATGAGCAGCTTCACATAGAGTCATCCATGAGCTGTCATCTTTGGGGCTTGTCAAGTCTACCGGAGATGACTCTTGACCACATAAAATGCAAAGGTTACTGTCTATCTTCCGTCGTTTTAAGACTGTTTCATGGTCTGACATTTTGCTCTTGACTCAAAGATAAGTTATCTGCCTGTAACAACAGAAAAAAAATCATTTTACTTACAATTTAAAAAAAGAGTAAATACTCACATAATTACTGGTCCCTGCTACAAAGTCTGATGAGAGTTATCTCCCTTGAATAGCAGACAGCTCATGTTAGACAGGTTTTATTAAAGAACAGTATAATTAATACTGTAAGACACTTTTGTATTGACATGTACAATCTTGACAGTACCATAATTGTCTGAGTGTTGTTGTTTTAACTTTATCTTGCTATAAAATCAAATATACTCACGAAAATCATCCTCCAAGTAAACTGTCAACTCCATGCTTGTTGGGTGTCAGTGGAAAGGACCAGTCATTGCATCAATTTTATATAAACACAGATGCATTGTATTTATCCATTAACTGACAACAGACAGTAGTTTCAGATGTAATTGGGGAATTATCTTTTTTGTTGCACAATTTAAGGTCTCATTTTGAGTAATTAAACTTCATATGAAAGAAAATATTGTTGTTTTTTTTCTTGCAGGGTTTTAAATAGATAATGTTTATTTTAACTATGGTAATATATGCAAAATTTAATTGCTTTTGTATTAAACTGAAATGCAGAGATTTCATCAAATATTGGGTTAGTAGTCGGAAATTTGTGTGTAAATTTTGAGAACATTTTGAGCAAGGATAACCGGCTTTGCAGTGCAAGAAAACAATGTAATTTCTGTGATCACTTATTATTATAAATACAACAAACAGCTGTTATCAATCACAAAATTTCAATGCTATGTAAAGTCATAACACTGAAGTAAACAATTCTTAATGTCTTTGCATAATAAAAAAATATTTTTTTTAATAGATTTTTCAATATAATTTGATAACAGAAAAATATTTATTACATAAAACCATACAAATTGTATATCAAAATGTGTGGAATTTAGTGCCTGACACATTTCATTACACAAAAACTGTCTAGGAATTGTAAATTCTGTTTTTCATGCTTATTTCTGAAATTTGGAGCAAATTGGAAACAAATGGCGGCCATCTTGAAAATGGCGGCCAAAATGACATTTAGCTGGACATGTGAGATGTCCATCATGTGATTTCATGTAGTTTTGACATCAGGCTATCTGAAAACCACAATGGAAATTTGTCCCTCCATTTGGTAGTCAAACATAAAAATCAGGGGTCTGGCTCATGGACTAGGGTATGGTGCTGACAAACCTAGAAACATAATCAGGGCGAACTGGGATTCGAACCCACAATCATAGGTTTCTGGCGTGCCCAAGGGCCGCAACTCTGCCCAGCGAGTCGCGGCGCCCTGGTATTATCGATGAGTGAGTGAATGCTGTTATACACGGGACACACAGGAAGTATTTACAAACAAACTTCAACAGCAAGTACCTCGCTTCTCTTCCTCCAACTTGTCCCCGACAGAGTCCTCGTCCGAGTCACTGAACGTGTATCTGGCTGGTGTCTTCGTGCACCTGGAGTCACCAACATGAACATCAGCACGGCCAATCACTTTATGCAAATCAGCAAACAACAGCCACTTATTGGAGTAAAATAGAAAGGACTTAATATTCTACAAAATTATTGTAACCAACCAATGATCAGTCTTTTTCATGGTCGACCCATGAAGATCTGAAGTAGAATAGGTCTGGAGGTCGGGCTCGCTGACTTGGTTGATGCATGTCATCGTATCCCAATTGCTTGAATCAAAGCTCATAATGTCAATCACTGGAGTGTCTGATCCAGACTCGATTGCCGTAAAAAAAATTAGAATTTTGCTGAGTGCGGCATTAAACAACAAATAAACAAACAAACAAATTTGTTCATGGTCCACAAAGGATGAGTGAGTTGGTTTGGTTTTACGCCTCTTTTAGCAATATTCCAGCAATATCACGGCAGGGGACACCAGAAATGGGCTTCACACATTGTACCCATGTCGTGAATCCAACCTGGGTCTTTGTCATGACGAGCAAATGCTTTAACTACTAGGCTACCCGACCAACCCCAAGTGACCTATAAATCCACAACATTGCTTGTCATGATGAGCAAACGCTTTAACTACTAGGCTACCCGACCAACCCCACGTGACCTATGAATCCACAACATTGCTTGTCATGACAAGCAAATGCTTTAACTACTAGGCTTCCCGACCAACCCCACGTGACCTATGAATCCACAACATTGCTTGTCATGATGAGCAAATGCTTTAACCACTAGGCTACCCGACCACCCCCACGTGACCTATAAATCCACAACATTGCTTGTCATGACGAGCAAACGCTTTAACTACTAGGCTACCCGACCAACCCCACGTGACCTATGAATCCACAACATTGCTTGTCATGATGAGCAAATGCTGTAACCACTAGGCTACCCGACCAACCCCACGTGACCTATAAATCCACAACATTGCTTGTCATGATGAGCAAATGCTTTAACCACTAGGCTACCCGACAACCCCAACGTGACCTATGAATCCACAACATTGCTTGTCATGATGAGCAAATGCTGTAACCACTAGGCTACCCGACCAACCCCATGTGACCTATAAATCCACAACATCGCTTGTCATGATGAGCAAATGCTTTAACTACTAGGCTACCCGACCACCCGCACGTGACCTATAAATCGACAACATCGCTTGTCATGATGAGCAAACGCTTTAACCACTAGGCTACCCGACCACCCCCACGTGACCTATAAATCCACAACATTGCTTGTCATGATGAGCAAATGCTTTAACCACTAGGCTACCCGACCACCCCAACGTGACCTATAAATCCACAACATTGCTTCTCATGATGAGCAAACGCTTTAACTACTAGGCTACCCGACCACCCCCACGTGACCTATAAATCCACAACATTGCTTGTCATGACGAGCAAACGCTTTAACTACTAGGCTACCCGACCACCCCCACGTGACCTATAAATCCACAACATTGCTTGTCATGACGAGCAAACGCTTTAACTACTAGGCTACCCGACCACCCGCACGTGACCTATAAATCCACAACATTGCTTGTCACGACGAGCAAACGCTTTAACTACTAGGCTACCCGACCACCCCCACGTGACCTATAAATCCACAACATTGCTTGTCATGATGAGCAAATGCTTTAACCACTAGGCTACCCGACCACCCCCACGTGACCTATAAATCCACAACATTGCTTGTCATGATGAGCAAATGCTTTAACTACTAGGCTACCCAACCAACCCCAAGTGACCTATGAATCCACAACATTGCTTGTCATGATGAGCAAATGCCTTAACCACTAGGCTACCCGACCACCCCCACGTGACCTATAAATCCACAACATTGCTTGTCATGACAAGCAAACGCTTTAACTACTAGGCTACCCGACCAACCCCACGTGACCTATGAATCCACAACATTGCTTGTCATGATGAGCAAACGCTTTAACCACTAGGCTACCCGACCACCCCCACGTGACCTATAAATCCACAACATTGCTTGTCATGACGAGCAAACGCTTTAACTACTAGGCTACCCGACCAACCCCACGTGACCTATGAATCCACAACATTGCTTGTCATGATGAGCAAACGCTTTAACCACTAGGCTACCCGACCATCCCCACGTGACCTATAAATACACAACATTGCTTGTCGTGATGAGCAAACGCTTTAACCACTAGGCTACCCGACCAACCCCCACGTGACCTATAAATACACAACATTGCTTGTCATGATGAGCAAATGCTTTAACCACTAGGCTACCAGACCACCCCCACGTGACCTATGAATCCACAACATTGCTTGTCATGATGAGCAAACGCTTTAACCACTAGGCTACCCGACCACCCCCACGTGACCTGTAAATCCACAACATTGCTTGTCATGATGAGCAAACGCTTTAACCACTAGGCTACCCGACCACCCCCCAATGACCTATAAATCCACAACATTGCTTGTCATGACAAGCAAACGCTTTAACCACTAGGCTACCCGACCACCCCCCAATGACCTATAAATCCACAACATTGCTTCTCATGACAAGCAAACGCTTTAACTACTAGGCTACCCGACCACCCCCACGTGACCTATGAATCCACAACATTGCTTGTTATGATGAGCAAATGCTTTAACCACTAGGCTACCAGACCACCCCCACGTGACCTACAAATCCACAACATTGCTTGTCATGATGAGCAAATGCTTTAACTACTAGGCTACCCGACCAACCCCACGTGACCTATGAATCCACAACATTGCTTGTCATGATGAGCAAATGCTTTAACCACTAGGCTACCCGACCACCAAATGCTTTAACCACTAGGCTACCCGACCACCCCAACGTGACCTATAAATCCACAACATTGCTTGTCATGATGAGCAAACGCTTTAACCACTAGGCTACCCGACCAACCCCACGTGACCTATGAATCCACAACACTTCAGTCCTTACCTCTAAGGCCGGGCTGACCTATAAATCCACAACACTTCAGTCCTTACCTCTTAGGCCGGGCTGACCTATAAATCCACAACACTTCAGTCCTTACCTCTTAGGCCGGGCTGACCTATAAATCCACAACATGTCAGTCCTTACCTCTTAGGCCGGGCTGACCTATAAATCCACAACATGTCAGTCCTTACCTCTTAGGCCGGGCTGACCTATAAATCCACAACACTTCAGTCCTTACTTCTTAGGCCAGGCTGACCTATGAATCCACAACACTTCAGTCCTTACCTCTTAGGCCGGGCTGACCTATAAATCCACAACACTTCAGTCCTTACCTCTTAGGCCGGGCTGACCTATAAATCCACAACACTTCAGTCCTTACCTCTTAGGCCGGGCTGACCTATAAATCCACAACACTTCAGTCCTTACCTCTTAGGCCGGGCTGACCTATAAATCCACAACACTTCAGTCCTTACCTCTTAGGCCAGGCTGACCTATAAATCCACAACACTTCAGTCCTCTTACCTCTTAGGCCGGGCTGACCCATAAATCCACAACACTTCAGTCCTTACCTCTTAGGCCGGGCTGACCTGGACTTCTCTCTTTTGACTTCCAAATCCATCTCAGGTAGATAGTTGGCGTCAACTTCCTTCAGCAGAGACGTATGGTCCACAGAAAGCCCTGCAGAAACACAGGGTCTTACCAGGTGCAATATCATGCCCTACAGAAACACAGGGTCTTACCAGGTGCAATATCATGCCCTACAGAAACACAGGGTCTTACCAGGTGCAATATCATGCCCTGCAGAAACACAGGGTCTTACCAGGTGCAATATCATGCCCTGCAGAAACACAGGGTCTTACCAGGTGCAATATCATGCCCTGCAGAAACACAGGGTCTTACCAGGTGCAATATCATGCCCTACAGAAACACAGGGTCTTACCAGGTGCAATATCATGCCCTACAGAAACACAGGGTCTTACCAGGTGCAATATCATGCCCTACAGAAACACCAATCCAATCTGTGACTGGACGCAACTTATTAATACTGCAAGTCTTGTTGGATGCAAGAAAGAATCATTCAACTTATCAAAATTGTAGACTGTATGTCACAAATATATACTCAACAACAAAAGTTCCTGCGACACCAATATCTTAGTGTATTTTTCAAATAAGTAATGTTTGGTTTTCAATATTGTTGTACATGTATGGAATCAAGTCACAAAAACGCAACTACGACAGAAAAGCATGCATTCCATGCGAAACTTGACTTTTATGCAAGCCCCATGCATTTCACAACCAAAGAAATGGGTATAAAAACATGTGCGTTAACGGAATTCCATATGCATTGTTTAGCATCATGCTGACAACAACCACTCAGAAAAACAACAAAATTACGCAATTATTGAACATTACGAAATGCCACGCCTGTCCGAAAATGAGCGTCTGCAAGCCATTGGTATGCTTGAAGCAGGATCGAGTCAACCATGAGGTTGCAAGACAATTTAACGTCCACAGAAACACCATTTGGTGTTTATGACAAAGTTGGCAACAGACGAATGCAGTCAGAGACCATCCTCGGAGTGGCAGGCCACACGTAACCAATAATCGACAAGACAACTGGATTCGAACAACACGTCTACAAAATCGATTCCAGCCAGCAACAGTGACTGCAAGAAACATCCCTAGCCTTCGACGAATATCTTCACAAACCGTACGTCATCGCCTCAGATAAGCAGAGATTGTCGCCAGAAGACCCACCAGACGTCCCATTTTGACAGGAAACCACCATCAAGCACGTCTACAGTGGTGCAGACAGAGTCTACGCTGGACGGCCATACAGTGGGGACAAGTTCTATTCACTGACCAGTCTCGTTTTCACCTCAGCCACAATGATAGACGGATTCAAGTGTACCGAGATGTCGAGGTGAACGTTACTTCAATCATTGTCTCATGGAAGAAGATCGGTTCGGGGGCGGCAACGTTATGGTATGGGGTGGGATTACAGCAAGACGTAGTGGTAGAGGGAAATCTCAATGGACAGCGCTACCGCGACGAGATCATCGGCCCTGTTGTTCTACCGTTTTTGCGTCGTCATGGCCCAGGCATTACCTTTCAACATGACAACGCCCGGCCTCATATTGAACGACTTGTTCAGGATTCTTTTCAACAAAACATCATGAATGTCATCCCCTGGCCGGCTCGCTCCCCTGATCTCTCACCAATCAAGCACATACCCGTGAAGATACCGGGGTAGAATAGGTCTTCAGCAACCCATGCTTGCCGTGAAGATACCGGGGTAGAATAGGTCTTCAGCAACCCATGCTTGCCGTGAAGATACCGGGGTAGAATAGGTCTTCAGCAACCCATGCTTGCCGTGAAGATTCCGGGGTAGAATAGGTCTTCAGCAACCCATGCTTGCCGTGAAAGGTGACTATGAGAACAGAGAACAGCACACCACACCACTGCCACAATCTCCAATGACGATGCCTTTTGGCCCAACGCAGACGTTCATTTCGATGTCGATCAGTGAGTATGGGTCCAACATATGGCATTGTACGGTTGCTGCAGTCCTGGTAGCCGGAAGTGTACGATCACGAAGATGCCGACGAACAATATGACCATCCTGACGTGGTGTAGTTACACGACGTTGACCCGGACGTGGTCGATCTCTGGTGGTTCTTGTCTGCTGGTATCTGCTCAGTAGCCTGAGGACTGTTGAATGATGGCATTGAAACCGTTGTGCAACGACTCTACTTGACGTACCAACTTGAAGCATGCCCAAGGCACGTTCACGTTCCTCTGCTGTTAATCTTGGCATTTCTTGTGTCAGTACCCTTTACGTCTGCAGCAACACGTGATGTGGCTTTTAAAAGTCTGTCTTTTATAGCCCTATTCTGCATGCTTCCCGTGAAACAAAACACGTTTTCCATGATGTGCACGCAATTTGTTGTGTTTTGGCATTTTCGCTCACAAAAAATTTAGGAATGTGTTTTGACGAGCTGTTCTTCTTCATGCTTCGTCCAGCCTGTGAGCCCCCATACACATGCCTTGAACACCCAGTATGTATTACTGAGAGTCCCCAGAATGCCAAGTAGACAGATCCAGGCAAATCACGGGAAACATAAGCTAGACTTACTGCTACAAAATATATTTTTCTCTGTATTGGACTGTTATCAAAGAAACGGAAGTTAACAAGATCAAGATTCGGGTTAGAATAGGTCTTCAGCAACCCATGCTTGATGCAACAGACGACCGTGCTTGTCGTAAGAGGCAACTAACGGGATCGGGTGGTCAGGCTTGCTGACTTGGTTGATGCATGTCAGTGTATCTCAACTGCACAGATCGATGCTCATGATTATCAATTATTTACAGACTGCTGTCATATAGCTGGAATGTGGCTGAGTGCAGATATAAACAGACATACACAAACAAATGTAGCGGCCATAAAATTTCCGAGTCCCGTGATGGGATTCGAACCACGGACCTTCTGATCCGAGGTCGGACGCCTTGTCCACATGACCAAAGAGGTTAACCCCGTCAGCAAGCTGACAAGGTAAGGATGTCATCTGTGGGATGACTCCACGCCCTGCTACATACTCCCCCGTCAACAGAAGGCACGTCCCGGGCCGCATAGTAGGGTACTGAGGCTTATTTTGCTCAAATTTAATATGAACGTGCTCAGCCCCACGTTGGGCGCCAATGTAGCGGCCATAAAATTTCCGAGTCCCGTGATGGGATTCGAACCACGGACCTTCTGATCCGAGATCGGACGCCTTGTCCACATGACCAAAGAGGTTAACCCCGTCAGCAAGCTGACAAGGTAAGGATGTCATCTGTGGGATGACTCCACGCCCTGCTACACAAACATGACTGATCATTTATACCATCAACTGCATTGGGAATTTCTGTTCATTTACTGCCAACTGGAAAGCCAATAACAATGAACATTTATCAGAGGACAAAATTACCTTCCCCTAGGTCAAGGTCATTGTGGCCATCACCTCTTCTCTGCCTGCTGTCAAGGTCCATGTTGACCATCTGGAGTGACCTCCCTTCTCCGGACACCTCAACAAAACTGGCGTCCTGCTTCAGGTGCAGACGGAAGGGATGCTTGGCCTTCTCGACCTTCTCGGCCTTCACGGTGCAAGGCCCATCCTCACTACTCAGGGAGTTTTCCTTCTGCTCATCGAGAGATTCTATCTCTGCCTCCAGGGCTCGGATTTTTTCAAATGGGCAAATTGTCTCCTCTGTTGACTTGAGATGTTCTTCTGTTTTACATAATTTCTCACCACTCAGAGACCGTTTTCTTTTCCTTCTGTGACTCTGAAGAAGAACATATTCCCATCTGAAGCCAATGATAGTCATGTTCATAGTGCACATTCAGCATTATCATTATTAATAATAATAATAATAATAATAATAATAACAACAATAATAATAAGAGTTTGCCACTCACGTGGCTATATCCCCCGCCCCTGTTGCAGAATTTATGACAAAATTAAATCTAAACAAACCCTAACCTTTTTTAACCGAGGTGGAACTTGTCATGGAAATTGTAAAAAAAAGATGAGTTTGGAACCTCAGTCCATCTTGTTACCATGGAAACGTAAAAAATAAATATTTCTAAAATTTCTCAATAGCAAAAGGCACCAGTTCAGTATGTATCTGACAGACCTGCAAAGTGTGATGAAAAAATATTGAACGGTTTATGAGTTATGCTCCGGAAACGAAACGTGACGGACGGACAGATGTACGGATGGACGGACAGAGCCCGTTTCTATATAATAACATTAATAATAATATGGTGCTGTAATCCTTGCACACGCATCCTCTAAGCTCTGAGACATTTATTACCCTGGTCAAAGGATCAGCGTGCACTCAACAATCATTCTCAGCTCCCTGGGGAGTATAGAACCCAAGCTGTCTGTTCGGCGCTAGAAGGTTAACAACCACATTGCTATCTCATCCTACCGGGTACCCATTCACTGCTGGGTGAACAGAGGCACACTTTGAACAAAGTCACTTGCCCGAGGAGACACTTCATGTGTTGTATGTGCTTCAGTGTGGGGAGGACAGAGTCCCCAGAAACACACGGGAGCCAATGGGCCCAACACGGTCCCCCATCCAAGGACTCTCCGCGACCAACGTTGTTTAACTTCACCTGATTTGTGACCTGAGCGCTGTGCACAGCACAGGACTTGGTGCCACCACATTATTACTAGTCACCATTCACTACTAGTCAATCCTGGTACATTACTAGTCACCATTCACTACTAGTCAATCCTGGTACATTACTAGTCACCATTCACTGCTAGTCAATCCTGGTACAATACTAGTCACCATTCACTACTAGTCAATCCTGGTACAATACTAGTCACCATTCACTACTAGTCAATCCTGGTACATTACTAGTCACCATTCACTACTAGTCAATCCTGGTACAATACTAGTCACCATTCACTACTAGTCAATCCTGGTACAATACTAGTCATCATTCACTACTAGTCAATCCTGGTACATTACTAGTCACCATTCGCTACTAGTCAATCCTGGTACATTACTAGTCACCCTTCACTACTAGTCAATCCTGGTACAATACTAGTCACCCTTCACTTCTAGTCAATCCTGGTACATTACTAGTCACCATTCACTACTAGTCAATCCTGGTACATTACTAGTCACCATTCACTACTAGTCACCATTCACTACTAGTCAATCCTGGTACGTTACTAGTCACCATTCACTACTAGTCACCATTCACTACTAGTCAATCCTGGTACATTACTAGTCACCATTCACTACTAGTCAATCCTGGTACAATACTAGTCACCATTCACTACTAGTCAATCCTGGTACATTACTGGTCACCATTCACTACTAGTCAATCCTGGTACATTACTAGTCACTATTCACTACTAGTCAATCCTGGTACATTAATAGTCACAATTCACTACTAGTAAATCCTGGTACATTACTAGTCACCATTCACTACTAGTCAATCCTGGTACAATACTAGTCACCATTCGCTTCTAGTCATCATTCAGTACTAGTCAATCCTGGTACATTACTAGTCACCATTCACTACTAGTCAATGCTGGTACATTACTGGTCACCATTCACTACTAGTCAATCCTGGTACAATACTAGTCACCATTCACTACTAGTCAATCCTGGTACAATACCAGTCACCATTCAATACTAGTCAATCCTGGTACATTACTAGTCACCATTCACTACTTGTCAATCCTGGTACAATACTAGTCACCATTCACTACTAGTCAATCCTGGTACAATACTAGTCACCATTCACTACTAGTCAATCCCGGTACAATACTAGTCACCATTCACTACTAGTCAATCCTGGTACAATACTAGTCACCATTCACTACTAGTCAATCCTGGTACATTACTAGTCACCATTCACTACTAGTCACCATTCACTACTAGTCACCATTCACTACTAGTCAATCCTGGTACAATACTAGTTACCATTCACTACTAGTCAATCCTGGTACAATACTAGTCACCATTCACTACTAGTCACCATTCAGTACTAGTCAATCCTGGTACAATACTAGTCACCATTCACTACTAGTCACCATTCACTACTAGTCAATCCTGGTGCATTACTAGTCACCATTCACTACTAGTCACCATTCACTGCTAGTCAATCCTGGTACAATACTAGTCACCATTCACTACTAGTCAATCCTGGTACAATACTAGTCACCATTCACTACTAGTCAATCCTGGTACAATACTAGTCAATCCTGGTACAATACTAGTCACCATTCACTACTAGTCAATCCTGGTACAATACTAGTCACCATTCACTACTAGTCACCATTCACTACTAGTCAATCCTGGTACAATACTAGTCATCATTCACTACTAGTCACCATTCAGTACTAGTCAATCCTGGTACAATACTAGTCACCATTCACTACTAGTCAATCCTGGTACAATACTAGTCACCATTCACTACTAGTCACCATTCAGTACTAGTCAATCCTGGTACAATACTAGTCACCATTCACTACTAGTCACCATTCACTACTAGTCAATCCTGGTACAATACTAGTTACCATTCACTACTAGTCAATCCTGGTACAATACTAGTCATCATTCACTACTAGTCACTCCTGGTACATTACTAGTCACCATTCACTACTAGTCATTCCTGGTACAATACTAGTCACCATTCACTACTAGTCAATCCTGGTACATTACTAGTCACAATTCACTACTAGTAAATCCTGGTACATTACTAGTCACCATTCACTACTAGTCAATCCTGGTACAATACTAGTCACCATTCACTACTAGTCACCATTCAGTACTAGTCAATCCTGGTACATTACTAGTCACCATTCACTACTAGTCAATGCTGGTACATTACTAGTCACCATTCACTACTAGTCATTCCTGGTACAATACTAGTCACCATTCACTACTAGTCAATCCTGGTACATTACTAGTCACCATTCACTACTAGTCACCATTCAGTACTAGTCAATCCTGGTACAATACTAGTCACCATTCACTACTAGTCAATCCTGGTACAATACTAGTCACCATTCACTACTAGTCAATCCTGGTACAATACTAGTCACCATTCACTACTAGTCAATCCTGGTACAATACTAGTCACCATTCACTACTAGTCAATCCTGGTACAATACTAGTCTCAGATACAATTTCTTCCATCATTGCATTATTTTGCATAGTGTAGTCAAATTCAAAGCAAATAAATCCGTAATTGCAATCACATTTAGTCGACAGAACACTCATAACTCAAGCAAAACAGGAAAAGTTTTGTTGTCATTTATTTCCAGTTAAAGTTGGCCATGTGTTTGTGAGGCAACACTGCACAATATCAGTCCAACCGAACTATATGCCAATCATATTTCAGTAGTAACTGCATGTCGTTTTCAGTCAGCAAAAAATAACAACAGTATTACCATGGCGACCTGTAATTGAGTCTGGACCAGGCCAACCAATGAATGATTCATACCACTGGGGTGGGATGAAACAACAAGGTCAAGGTCATTGTAATCACCCAATCTTTATGAGTCAGTCCTTACATCAAGCTAGGACCCCTTGAACAGATCGGTCTGGAGGTCTCCTCCTTACCTTCGGGTGTTTGGACGCCCGCACTCTCCCTGGGACTGGCTGAGCCAGAGGCTGCTTGTCCACGAAGTTGGTGAGGATCAGGGAGATGATCTCTAGGGTCTTGCCTAGACCCATGTCATCGGCCAGGATACCTACACAGGGAGAGCATGGATCAGGAGATTATCTCTAGTCTTGCCTAGACCCATGTCATCGGCCAGGATACCTACACAGGGAGAGCATGGATCAGGAGATTATCTCTAGTCTTGCCTAGACCCATGTCATCGGCCAGGATACCTACACAGGGACATGCATCAGGAGATTATCTCTAGGGTCTTGCCTAGACCCATGTCATCGGCCAGGATACCTACACAGGGAGAGCATGAATCAGGAGATTATCTCTAGTCTTGCCTAGACCCATGTCATCGGCCAGGATACCTACACAGGGAGGGCATGGATCAGAGAGATGATCTCTAGGGTCTTGCCTAGACCCATGTCATCGGCCAGGATACCTACACAGGGAGAGCAAGGATCAGGAGATTATCTCTAGGGTCTTGCCTAGACCCATGTCATCGGCCAGGATACCTACACAGGGAGAGCATGGATCAGGAGATTATCTCTAGTCTTGCCTAGACCCATGTCATCGGCCAGGATACCTACACAGGGACATGCATCAGGAGATTATCTCTAGTCTTGCCAAGACCCATGTCATCGGCCAGGATACCTACACAGTGAGAGCATGAATCAGGAGATTATCTCTAGTCTTGCCTAGACCCATGTCATCGGCCAGGATACCTACACAGGGAGAGCATGAATCAGGAGATTATCTCTAGTCTTGCCTAGACCCATGTCATCGACCAGGATACCTACACAGGGAGGGCATGGATCAGAGAGATGATCTCTAGGGTCTTGCCTAGACCCATGTCATCGGCCAGGATACCTACACAGGGAGAGCATGGATCAGGAGATTATCTCTAGTCTTGCCTAGATCCATGTCATCGGCCAGGATACCTACACAGGGAGAGCATGAATCAGGAGATTATCTCTAGTTTTGCCTAGACCCATGTCATCGGCCAGGATACCTACACAGGTAGGGCATGAATCAGGAGATTATCTCTAGTCTTGCCTAGATCCATGTCATCGGCCAGGATACCTACACAGGGAGAGCATGCATCAGGAGATGATCTCTAGTCTTGCCTGGACCCATGTCAACATGCAGGTTTGTACATCTATATAATCTTGGACGTGACGTTAAACCCCATTTCACCTCAAATTACATTCCTGGATTCATGATCAATTTCATGATTTATTCACTGATCGGAAACTGAACCAAAGCGATTGTTTATGAAACTGATTCCTTGGTATATAACTAGGACAGTTGAATCACCTCCTCGGATGCTGTTGGGTTGGTTGCCGGTGGTGGACACTGTGAGGCTGTTGAAGTAGCCGTTCTTCCGCTTCTCCCAAAATGGCGGCAAGTTGTCGGCGTTCTCTCGTGAGATGAGCCAGTTCAGGCCCTGCCTCTGATGCGGATACAGCACGGACTTAATGGCCTGAGAGAAAGGTCATATGGGGGCTCAGATTGCAGTCAGCCATGTACTGTTAAAAGTCATAAAAAGTAGATAATATTTAGAATGAAAAAACAATTACAGACCGTTACTTTAGCCCAGCACTCAGCACAATATTCCAGCTACATGACACCTGCGTGGTAATAATCAAGTTATGAGTTGACAATCCAGTGATTGGTATCATAAACAGGCCTCAAAGTTCACATTTTTACCAAGTAGCCATATGGCTACAAGTATATTTTTCCAGGTAAAATCAAGAAGTCAAGCCAATATTGTAGGTAGCCAAAAGCATTTGAAATTATCTTTTATCAAATAACTGTTATATGTACAAGTCATAGCACTAGTCTTGGAATTGTATATGAGTGAAAACCGTACATGATGTTCTTGAGTTTTGTTATTTGTGACTCGAACAAAAATACAATTTATGTTACTAGATTACATCCTAGATGTAATCCTTGCTTATCCAATAAACTATCAACTAAAATAAAATACTAATTTTATTTACATTAATATTTATGCATTTCGGTTCATAGTCGACTTTAGGAGGAATTATTTGCAAGTACAATCAGTTGCAGACATGTTTATTGTTATGTCTACATATGTGAAGCAATAGAATTTAGTCGCCACAAGATATTTTTGAAGGTAGTCATTTGGCTACCTCATGAGCATCGATCTATGCAATTGGGATACGATGACATGCATCTATCAAGTCAGCGAGCCTGACCACCTGATCCCGTTAGTCGCCTCTTAGGACAAGCATAGTTGCCTCTTACTGCAAGTCTGGATAATCTGTGCATGGATCTTCACAGGTCAAGCGGCTGATGATGTAGACAGACATCTGAAGAACAGTAACCAGCACTAAATACTAAATACTAAATACTAAATACTAAATACTTAATCCGTCCCACCTGTGCCGGGAACGTCATGGTCGTCTTGTCATCCTCCTGCAGAGCCTCAAACAGCTTGTCCAGCTCGTTCTTCACCTGCAGCAGAGAGAATCAAGTAGAGCAAGGCGGTAACACCCATCTTCCCCAGGCCGACATCAAGTAGAGCAAGGCGGTAACACCCATCTTCCCCAGGCCGACATCAAGTAGAGCAAGGCGGTAACACCCATCTTCCCCAGGCCGACATCAAGTAGAGCAAGGCGGTAACACCCATCTTCCCCAGGCCGACATCAAGTAGAGCAAGGCGGTAACACCCATCTTCCCCAGGCCGACATCAAGTAGAGCAAGGCGGTAACACCCATCTTCCCCAGGCCGACATCAAGTAGAGCAAGGTGGTAACACCCATCTTCCCCAGGCCGACATCAAGTAGAGCAAGGCGGTAACACCCATCTTCCCCAGGCCGACATCAAGTAGAGCAAGGCGGTAACACCCATCTTCCCCAGACCGACATCAAGTAGAGCAAGGCGGTAACACCCATCTTCCCCAGGCCGACATCAAGTAGAGCAAGGTGGTAACACCCATCTTCCCCAGGCCGACATCAAGTAGAGCAAGGCGGTAACACCCATCTTCCCCAGGCCGACATCAAAGCCTAGTTCCCATCCTTGCCCTTTAAAGCCTACTTTTCTGTGCTAGAGTTTTAGAGTCCAATCAGAGGCCGTATCACAAAATCAACATCCAGGTTCCGAAAATGTGGTCGCTGCTATGGCAACAGCCATCCCTTGTCAAATTTACGTTAAAATTATAAAAGAGTGAGTGAGTGAGTGAGTTTGATTTTACGCCGCTTTTAGCAATATTCCAGCAATATCACGGCGGGGGGACACCAGAAATGGGCTTCACACATTGTACCCATGTCGGGAATCGAACCCGGGTCTTCGGCATGACGAGCGAACAATTATAAAAGAAATAAAGTGATGACACAGTCCAAGTTTGCAATCAACTCGCCAATGTACTTTTACATAATCCATGTATAATGTACCTCACATAGAGGCCGTTTTTTTGTGAGTAAATAATGATATCATGAAGACCCTGCTAAAACATGGTACAGCCTGTCAGATTCTGCTATTTTGATTTGCAAGTACATTGCCCCAAGATAAAAAACAAGTGAAACTGGGCTAATATTCCTCATTTCTACACCAAACCCTTCTAGGATATCAAACGGTCCGTTCTTACCTCCGCTGGGGAGAGGAACTGGCGGTGAGTGACCACATGGCTATAGTCATAGCTGGGTCCGGCCTTGGCTGCCACGCCCCCTGGCGTGACCAGGGACAGGCCATGTGACTGCAGGACATCCACTACCCGCTGTTTCTTCTCGGGCCGCCCCCAGAGCGTCAGGTCGGCGGCCATCTTGTACTTGTTTGTTGCTCCAAAGGGAACCACACTGAAGCAGGAAATGGTCTAATTATTAAAGGCAACAGAAAACTGTCTTCACATTTGAAATATACGACTGAAGGGATCTTCTGTCTTCTGCTTCAATGCCTGGAGGACTCACAGATGTACAATTTTGGAAGAGTAACGACTGTGTAACGGTCAAAATACTTATTTCCATTTCCTATCAGTTATGATAGCTCAATCAGTTAGGGAGCCATTAAATCTGGTTTATAGTATGTCCACAAATTGTGCATTGCATAGTAATTTTACAATATTACAAATTTTTAATGGTTGGATGTTTTTTTGTTGTTTTTTTAATTTCCTCTCTTTGAATGGCATTTAGAAGTGATACACATAAGGAGGAGAATACATGGATGTCAACTTCTGTATTACGAGGAACACAACATTTCGGAGTATATGCTTACTCCCTCATCAGTTCATTTCACCTGATGAAGGAGTAAGTTTATACTCCGAAACGTTGTGTTCCTCATAATAAAGAAGTTGACATCCATATATTCTCCTCCTTTAATTTTCTGGTTTTGAATGTGATGTTTCATAACTTTTGGCAAAGGCATGAAAGGTACATGAAATATTAAGCTTTATGTTTATTCAGTGCAGTTAAGGTATTTTATCGTCCAAAACTGGCTCCCACAGGAGATATCGCTTGAGACACAAGAATAAGAGACCATTGTGACATCATTGGTTACCATGACGTCACAATCAAATGACATCACTAATGGCTCTGCATGAGACACAAGAATAAGATAAGAATAAAGAATCAAGAATATTGTTTGGAATTTCATGTTGTGATCAACAGACTCGATATGGGGTCCCTGGCTGGTGGCACGCTTCGTTGGATTTGGAGCAACCTGGTTTTGTCCGGTGCAACTAGGTTTTCATGTCAATATGCACCTGGTACAAGTTATATGAGTTCCTTAAATCAGGCCACGTTGCTGACGTGGTGTCATCGCACATGCTCAGTCTGCCTGCTAAGTGCATTCGGTCTCGTTACACAGACACTGACAGACTGTCATCCAAAATGTCAAAAACAACTTTTTCCTTCCATTTGTTTGTTTGTTTGTTGTTTAACGCTGCACTCAGCAATATTCCAGCTATATGATCGCAGTCTGCAAGTCTGGACCCACAATCCAGTGATTGACATCATGAGCATCGATCCAAGCAAATAGGATATAACATGCATCAACCAAGTGAGCAAACTGACCACACAATGCCGTCAGTCGCCTCTTACGACAAGCGTTGTCGCCCTTTATGGCAAGCATGGGTTGCTGCCCCAGATCTCCATGGGTATTTTCCCTTGGTCATGATAGAGAATGCCCTATCCAAAGTTGCTAAAGTTGATCACGAAAATGTCCTAAAGCAATTTGTCTCCACAAAATCACTGTCGGTGACTTCAATCTGAGTCAGTATCAAACAGGTTGAGCGTGCAGTGCTAGACAAGCAGGCAAGACAAATGCTACAGTACAACACACACGTCAGAAATATGCCGTGTAATATAAGGGTGACACTATTTTTCAGGGCATTATCATTTGCAGTAGTCCAAGGTCTTCCATTAACTGCCCGACAAAGGAATTTGTTATCAAATAAAAGGAAACAACAATATCCATTTTGAAACATATTGCAATCAACACGAATGTCACTGACCCACTTTTATAAATGGAAACGTCATAAACAAACCAGATGACGTCACTATTGAACGTGACGTCACCTACCCCTATCCCTATGACGTCACTATTGAACGTGACGTCACCTACCCCTATCCCTATGACGTCACTATTGAACGTGACGTCACCTACCCCTATCCCTATGACGTCACTATTGAACATGACGTCACCTACCCCTATCCCTATTGACGTCAGTATTGAACGTGACGTCACCTACCCCTATCCCTATGACGTCACTCAACAACAGGCATAATAATGCCCTGTTGTCAAGGAATATGAGGGCACTATCAAGTTACAGTTGCCTGCTCATTTCCGATAACAGGCAAGGGGATAAATGATAATTCTATCTATTTTAGCTATAATTTCTAATCACCATACTGCCAGGAATTTCCTTTCTCATTTCCAACTTTCAAATTTGAAAGCTGAATAACACTTGACAGAAAAGTAACCTAGCCACTTGGGCAACCTAAGTTTCACTTGCCAGGTTGGTTGGTTGGTTGTTTAACGCCGCACTCAGCAATATTCCAGCTATATGACGGCGGTCTGTAAATAATCGAGTCTGGACCAGACAATCCAGTGATTGACATCATGAGCATCGATCCACGCAATTGGGATCGATGACATGCATCAACCAAGTCAGCGAGCCAGACCACCCAATCCCGTTAGTCGCCTTTTACGACAAGAATAGTCACCTTTTATGGCAAGCATGGGTTGCTGAAGACCTATTCTACCCCGGAATCTTCACGGGTCACTTGCCAGGATGAAAGAGGGGAGGGACTTATGTCCCCCTCTGCTCCCTGCTGTCTTACCCTTCCAGTCTGGCCATGTTGTTGTCCACAACGAAGGCGAGCGCTTTGGCCATGTCCCTCTTTAGATGGCCGACCTGCACCCGGTCCAAGTTGGTGACTCGAATAGCGTTGCGGTCGTACACATTGTGAGGTTCTCGCTCAAGGCTCACCATCTCACCATTGTTTACCTGAAGGGACAAGTGGGAGTGATAGAAATTATCTAAATAAACCAACAAGTGACAATTCAATGACAAACTGACATTTTCAAAATGGCTGCCATGAACAGTGAGAATGTGAGGAAGAGAATTTGTGAATGTCAACTTATTTATATGAGTGCGAGTGAGTGAGTTGGGTTTCACACCGCTTTAAACTGTATTCCAGTTATATTGCGGCATGTCAGCTTATTGTAGGAGGAAAGCCCAAAGTGATGCAGGTCTCAGACGTTTACCACTTCAGTGAAACCCACGAGCACGGGTGTGGTGCTGACAAACCTAGAAACATAATCAGGGTGAACCGGGATTCGAACCCACAATCATAGGTTTCTAATGCAGCTCTGCAAAGTAAATTACGGCATCTTAGACGACTGGGCCACCTGATAGCATGTTTTTGTTAAATATTTGAGCTGATATACAACAGGAATTGTATCTGTGACCAACAAGGTCATTGTCACAGGAAGAACATCCTAAATCATTTAAATACATAATGAGAGGTTGTCAATAGGATACAGAGCTCCAGATAAGCTGCGTATCTGCGTGAAATACGCATCAGAAATGGAGAAATACACAGTAAAATATAATCCAAACGTATCAAATACGCAACGAACATTACAGATACGCTACAAAAATAAAATTTGTGCGTATCATCAAAATATTGTGAAGTAACCCTGCGTATTCGATTAGCAAATCAGCAACTTATTTTGAAATTATAAACGGGCATTCCGTCAACCTTGCCAAACTCCACGATGACAGTTACATCATGATCATTTGCCATCACACTTTCTTGTGGAAGTATCGTGGTATTTTTGAGTCCTATAAAGCTCTCGAACCCACACGACTGCAGTTTGCAGGGACTAGATGAATAGTGTTTTAAAATATTTAACTTAAATACCCACATGTGTAAAAACTAGTGGGTAAATAACAGAAATTTGAATAGGCAGATAGAACTACTGATACCCAATGATTTTAAAATGCATGGGTAAAATACCCACAACACCAAAAGCTTATCTGGAGCTCTGGGATATACAGTAAACTACATGTATAACGAAACTTTTTTTTTGGTCCTGACCATGTGCTGTATGCTGCATATGTGTTTATAACGGACTAAGGTCAGTGACCCCTTGGAGTTTGTTATAACCCCAGTGTACCGTAGTTTGTGAAAAGTACAACCATGTTTTCTGTCACATTGTGACACTTGAAGAGGGAAAGATTGTTACAGGAAAGATGTATTCCGTTACAGGAGTGACACCTCAACCAGTCTTCAGGAAATATGTGACTGTTGCAGAAGAGTCTTCACCAAAAATAAACATTAATTCAAAATGATATTTCTGTGAAATTTTCCCTGATTTCTAAAAGATTACATGCCCACATCTACTGTACATGTGTCCCTGTAGTACTGTATGTCACACCCACCATGCCCCTGTAGTACTGTATGTCACACCCACCATGCCCCTGTAGTACTGTATGTCACACCCACCATGCCCCTGTAGTACTGTATGTCACACCCACCATGCCCCTGTAGTACTGTATGTCACACCCACCGTGCCCCTGTAGTACTGTATGTCACACCCACCATGCCCCTGTAGTACTGTATGTCACACCCACCGTGCCCCTGTAGTACTGTATGTCACACCCACCGTGCCCCTGTAGTACTGTATGTCACACCCACCGTGCCCCTGTAGTACTGTATGTCACACCCACCGTGCCCCTGTAGTACTGTATGTCACACCCACCATGCCCCTGTAGTACTGTATGTCACACCTACCATGCCCCTGTAGTACTGTATGTCACACCCACCGTGCCCCTGTAGTACTGTATGTCACACCCACCGTGCCCCTGTAGTACTGTATGTCACACCCACCATGCCCCTGTAGTACTGTATGTCACACCTACCATGCCCCTGTAGTACTGTATGCCCACAATGTCTGCCCTGAGAGTCCCGAACATGACTTCATCGTCCATCTCATCAGGAGACATCTCCAGGTCGTCCAGGTCAATGACCTGCGGATGATGGTGGCTCCCGTGTGCGAACCCTGTGATGAAGTCCATGTCCATGGGGGACATATACGGCAGCCACGGCTGCTGGGAGGGGACGTTCATCCTCCTCCCAGACAGAGCATTTTTCCTTTTTAGCTTCCTTCTCGACTTCCTTTTCTTCTTTTTAATACTCCAATCGGATGAATTTGCGTGCCAACTTCCTGGCTTGCCTGCTCTAGTTCGAGCCATTCTGGAAAGAGGGAGTGAGTTTGGTTCAAGATGCTTATGTTACTTTAAACAGCAATCTTGCTTTAAACAGATTTCAAGTGACATGTAGCCATGCTTAATGCCACTATAACAGTAAAGTGGCTCCAGGAACTTTGGTTTCTTAAAGGTTTGGACAGATGCTCTAAAATGTTATTTAGATGTCATGTTTGTTTGTTTGTTTTTTGTTTAAGGCTACACTCAACAATATTCTAGCCATATTATGTATGTTTGTAAATAATCAAGTCCCGAACAGACAATCCAGTGATTGACATCATGAGCATCGATACATGCATCTGGGATACGATGACATGCATCAACCAAGTCAGCGAGCCTGACCACCCGATCCAGTTATTCACCTCTTACGATAAATATAGTCGCCTTTTATGACAAGCATGGGTTGCTGAACTGTTGTAACCCGGATCTTCAACTTATAATGTTCCTGTCTGTGCGTACAATTATGTTTGTGGCAGGAATACTTGTTGAAGTTGAGGAATGGTCGGTTATTATGTTTGTTTGTTTGTTTCTTTGTTGTTTAACGCCGCACTCAGCAATATTCCAGCTATATGAATGTGGTCTGTAAATAAACGAGTCTGGATCAGACAATTTAGTGATTGACATTATGAGCATCAATCCATACAATTGGGATATGATGACCTGCATCAACCAAGTCAGCAAGTCTGACCACCCGATCCCGTTAGTCGCCTCTTACGAGAAGCAGAGTTGCCTGTTAAGGCAAGCATGGGTTGCTGAAGATCTATTCTACCCCGGACCTTCACGAGTCTCAAATGATTGTGCTATCTGCATGTTAGACTAACACTTAGTCAATGAAAACATGTTGGTTTTTGGGGTGTTTTTTAAAGAGTCTTTTACACTTCTAGACTTGGTCTGTTTGATCAAGACTTGACAAGGCTTTTAGTAAAATAAAACGCCTAAAAAATATAAATTCCACAGTCATGGTGCAAGACTGTCTGCATGGCCACTTAATCGGTTTAGCGGACAGACGACTTCCAATTGCAAAAGCTCACGTTGACCCTGTCAAGGCGAATCAGTAAGATCTTACACTCATCTCCTGCACTGGCTGCGACACTGCAGGGAGTTCAACATCTTTGATGTGTTGCATCCAGCATGGCAAGTACAGATCTATCACTCGGGCCGTGTTCGGAGCCTGCGAGTGCCCTATAACCACTTGGCTGAACGACACTGTCATGCGCGACCGTCAGTTGCCAGCAGAGGTATTCTACATAAAAAGCACCCCGATACTAAACCTGGGTGAATAAATGCACTTGTCAAGCCCTCGCTTAGATGATATACGAAGATGTGTGACTGTTCTCTTTCTGTTCGTCTCAGCTGTTTCCCGCCGGATGTTGGTGTATGCAATTCAACTGTGCTTATCTCCCTTAGTTTGCGTTGGACACCAGTCAAAACGGACCGGCGTCAAATCGCCCAACTTTAGTTGAGCAGTGCTGCAGTATTCAAAATCGGGTAATTTCAGAGTCAAGCATACTGTGTTTTTAGAGCAGAGATTTAACCGCACTAATTGAATTTGGAATCGAACACATACGTTTTTTTTCTATAAACATTATCCCCGTGTTATGGGTATTCGGACTTCGAACATTCGAAGTTTTCTCGCTAATCACAAGAACAACAGTAAAACATCTCACTCACTTATAAAAGACGACTTTATGTTAAAAACAAGCCACCATCTGAGTATTTACAATGTCTGTGTGACGCCACTCCCTTAAAATTGTTATAGCGCGAGTAATCAAGATGATGTCTGAACACCTACGATCCGAGGGCGGTCGGGTAGCCTAGTGGTTAAAGCGTTCGCTCGTCACGCTGAAGACCCGGGTTCGATTCCCGACATAGGTACAATGTGTGAAGCCCATTTCTGGTGTTCCCCGCCGTGATACTGCTGGAATATTGCTAAAAGCGGCCATAAACCATACTCACTCATTCACTCACCTACGATCCGACGATGTTTCAATCAGAGGTTTGTTTGTTGTTTAACACCGCACTCAGCAGTATTCCAGACGGCGGTCTGTAAATAATCGAGTCTGAACCAGACAATCAAGTGATTGACATCATGAGCAAGGTTCCACGCAAATGGGATACGATGACATGCATCAACCAAGTCAGAGAGCCCGACCATCCAAACCCGTTAGTCACCTCTTATGGCAAGCATAAGAAGACCTATTCTACCCCAGATATTCATGGGTCTATAGCCACAATGATCCCGTTAGTCACCTCTTACGGCACGCATGGGTTGCTGAAGGCCTATTCTGCCCCGAGTCTTCACGGGTTTACGCAATTGGGATATGGAGACGTGCATCAACCAAGTCAGTGAGCCTGGTCATGGCCACCCAATCCAATTAGTCACCTCTTACGACAAGCATCAGCACCTTGTACAGGAAGCATGGGTTGCTGAAGACCCGTTCTTCACAGCTTGATAAATCCTGAGATACCAGAAGAAGGTCATGGCGAATGTCAAGGTGTAATAGCTCCCATACGTCCACAGCATTTCAAAACATTTATAAGAAACAACTTTACAATCACCTGTGACCTTGGCCTCCTACATAGGTCACACAGATTCTAGCCCCGTATCTAGACCGTATCATTCATATTTCCGTGCATGAGCACCATGCATTGCATCATCGTGTATATATTTGTTTCGAACGTGTCTATATTCGCTTGTCTATCCTTGCCATGACCCGGGGCGGTCGGGTAGCCTAGTGGTTAAAGCGTTAGCTCGTCACGCCGAAGACCCGGGTTCGATTCCCGACATGGGTACAATGTGTGAAGCCCATTTCTGGTGTCCCCCGCCGTGATATTGCTGGAATATTGCTAAAAGCGGCGTAAAACCTCACTCAGTAACTGACTTGCCATGACCCAAACCTATTGAAACATTAAGTCTTTTCGGAAAAAAACAACCAATTCTGGATGAAGAATTAAGGAAGAATGGAACAATAATCTGTGTTATTTCAGCTCTTACAATGAAATTTCAGAGGTATCGCAATTTAATGTGCAAGAAACTTTGGCTTCAAATTTTAAAAAATACAATGTGACCAAAATGGTAATATGCTTATCATGGAAATAGTGATTATTGACTATAAACTTGGCATCATTACCATATATGGACCTAACCATGATGATACTGATTTCTACGATGAGTGAGCGAGTGAGTATAGTTTTACGCCGCTTTAAGTAATATTCCAGCAATATCACGGCGGGGAACACCAGAAATGGGCTTCACACATTGTACCCATGTCGGGAATCGAACCGGGGTCTTCGGCGTGACGAGCGAACGCTTTAACCACTAGGCTACCCGACCGCCCCTTTTCTACGATGAGATTGACAACAGTATAAGATCTCGACAATTGTTCACATTATCCATTGTTGGGATTGGAATGTTATTATTTAAAATTACTCGTTAGATTCGTATGACTATAACAAGGTAAATAATCCGAAAGCACGAGAAAGGGAACTGAAATGGACTTGGAAGACGCTTGGAGGGAACTTAACCCGTTTGCTAAGCGATATACATGGAGACAAATCACCCCTTTAAAAAGAGCTCGTCTTTGCTATTTTCTAGAATCTCACAATATGATCCCGTCTATTAAAAACGGAGACAGAACCTAGCTTTAAGTCCGATCATTCACCGATATCTTCAGCATTTATTCTCCCGACTGCAGCTCGTCTTGGCTATTTTCTAGAATCTCACAATATATGATCCCGTCTATTAAAAACGGAGACAGAACCTAGCTTTAAGTCCGATCATTCACCGATATCTTCAGCATTTATTCTCCCGACTGCAGCTCGTCTTGGCTATTTTCTAGAATCTCACAATATGATCCCGTCTATTAAAAACGGAGACAGAACCTAGCTTTAAGTCCGATCATTCACCGATATCTTCAGCATTTATTCTCCCGACTGCAGCTCGTCTTGGCTATTTTCTAGTATCTCACAATATGATCCCGTCTATTAAAAACGGAGACAGAACCTAGCTTTAAGTCCGATCATTCACCGTTATCTTCAGCATTTATTCTCCCGACTGCAGCTCGGGAAAGGGCTCCAGCTCGTGGTATATAACCTAACGCGGGACACATAAACCCCGGTACCCCTCGTGATCCTGGTATAACTTGTAATATTCCTGTCGTGGCATTTTTCACACAATGTCTGGTTGACTGATAACATGCACGTGGGGAAGGAAACGGCTGTCAACCAATCAGGGTCTACAAAAGGCATCATATGTATTTATGATTTTATTGACAATGGGACATTTTCACTCATTTCTACAATTCATGGAGAGATGTAACATTCATATTAATTATCTTTATTCTGATTCAATCTATTAAAAAATACTATCGGAACCCGGGCATTCTGAAGCTGAAGAAACTTAGCTCCCCATTTACCATTAATTTATTTGATCTGTTAAAAGCCATGAAAGTTTCTTAATATTTCTGTAAAATACTTTTGAACAAACAAATTACTAAGAATGAACACTTTCAAAAATGGGAATTACTGCTCAGAAGTGAAATTTGCGAAGCAGATTGTCAATCTCATTAAAATCAGATCTTAGTTCTCGCTATCGTTAAACAAAGATCTGAGGACATCCCATTACGGGTCACGTCAGACCGACCTTGCGCGAATTTTGACCGACCAATGGAAGGACTGACAAGAAGTCGACATAAGCCAGCTTTCTCGTGCTTTACGGCACTAAATTCAAATTGGCGACTACGCTTCGAAACATATTTTGACAAATTCTCGATTGAAAATTTGAAACCTGAACAAAATAACATTCTGGAATGGCAAATATATGGTCTAGATTGTATGGATTCATTCGTTATACCTATAACTATCGTTCGGAATACCCCATGTTAAAGTTTTCGAAGTTGCATGATTAGAAATCACATTCCGACTGTCACTTTAATGATCTGGTAAGCGACGCCTTGATTGGTTGGATGAAAGGTCGTTCTGACGCGACCCCTAATGGGATGTCCTCAGATCTTTGTTTAGCGGTAGCGAGAATTAAGATCTGATTTCAATGAGATTGAGCAGGTTGTAAACATTACAATCTTATACCGTTTAGGTGTTCAAAGTCATGCACATTTCAGCGGTTTCAATACCACATATTACATCACATTCTACCCACAAATTTCCCCCTTAATGAAATGGGATACGACGACAGTGACTTGTGTAGCTAGTGCTCAACTGATAAAGAAACGATTTTACACATATTTTGGGAATGTCAGTAGGTACGCCCAATCTGGTCCAAAATGGAAAACTGGATTAAAGGGAAAATAAACATTCATATGTCAAAAGAAAACGTTTTATTCGGGTATACCTTAAAAAACAATAAGCTCATAAACAGCATAACCATAATCTAAAAAACTCCTATTTGACAAAAGAACTGAACACAAATATCCAATTTGAGTTTACTCAATGCTAATTACTAACAAAATACTTTGCAAATGTAAATTATTATATAGGATATTTCAACAGGTACTGGTCAAGCTGTCATTTACTCTTCTCTTAAAGTGTTTTTACTATATGTGTAATTTGCGTTACTGTAAAACAAAAATAAAACAAATAAAAAGTTTAAAAAGAAAGAAAATCGGGAAAAAATATACTGAAATATTAGCTCTCAAAACGTCGGACCCTTTGTCCTTCTTGGTGCGCCGGGCATTCCTTCATCCATGAGTGAGTATGGTTTTACGACGCAATAGTCCAGCAATATCACAACGGGGAACACCAGAAAAATGGGCTTCACGCATTGTACCCATGTGGGGTATCGAACCCGTGTCTTCGGCGTGACGGGCGAACGCTTTAACCTCTGGGCTACCGCACCGCCCCCACACATGAGTGTGTTGGCCGAAGTGTTTGACACTTGGTGTTAATAATGGCACTATAGGGACATTTTTTTCGAAAAATACGCATCGGCGAAAAACATTCTGTTCCTTTATGAAAAAAACCCACATTTTCATAACGTTTAAATACTATCTGGTTGTCCGTCGAGAACACGATGAACTGATATATGCGTAATGTTCATCCAAATTTGAAGACCTGGATGTATGTTTCCATGGCAACATATAGGTGACCGCCATGCACAAAAAGTCCAACCACTCGCCCAATACCATTCTGTGACGTCAGGATGTCTTTAACGAAGACGCCGGAATGTGACAGCTGCACCACAGTCTCCCTGCCGCTGTCGGCGATGAGGATGTCCTCTGAGCGCGTTGTCGTCACGCTGGAGGAGCAGATCAGTTCTCTGGCTTTAGTTGGAGTGTAGTGAAATACACCATCTCCCGCTGCAGACACACAGAGGAGAGACTTTGACCCCAGGTCTGAGACGAGAATATTGCCATCGTGTGTTCTACACAGGTAGAAGGGTACTTGTATAGACTTCTGTAGCGTTGGTAACTTTGTATAGGATGCGAGAACATTCCCTCCCACGTCAAGTACATCAACACAAGAGAGAGATCGACATCCGACTGCAAATGTTGACGGAGTCAGAGGGGCTATACTCCAGTACTCCTTGCCTGCAGGGATAGTCAGGAGTAGATTCAACCTAGGCATAGCCTCGACGATAACGATTTGTTTAATCCAAGGTAGAGTGGCAGCCACCACGTTGGTCTCTAACTTTGCTAGTCGTAATGGGAAGTGACCAAACTCGAGATAACTTGTACACACTTCATCTTCTTCTTCATAAACAGATTTGATACTGAAGTTGTTGGCATCCGTGAAGACGATGACAGTGACGTCGCTTACAGTGAGAACAGCAACGTCACGTAGACTCGGCTCACACACGTCATCGTCCATTGCAGCGTGTACGGTGTCGCGAAGCACAGGTTGGAGGGCGAGGTCAATGACGCCGTCTTCATCATCCCCAGTAGTCATGTTTTCTGCTGCGTCATCACCTTGTTCCCTTGTACCTGCGTTGTCGTCATCACCCTTCTCACTTCTGTTATCTCCGGTTTTATTATCGCCAGCTGGCCTACTTCTGACTTCACCCGTTCCAACAGAACCATCGCTCACGTCAACGTCTTCAGTTGCTTCATCCAACGTTTCCATGGCTGACACCGACGTTAATGGTTCAAATCCCTCATCTCATATAAACAAGCATCTGTTTCTGACGTATTTGTCCTCGAAGCGATGACACATCGAGGCAGATCCTTACATTGAACACATCGGAAGGTTCAGCGCTGCGGAGTCGGAACGTGGCTCTTGTTCGGGATGTATCACGTTTGGCACACACTATGGTGACGTGTATGTGTTCAGCTCTTGAGTCGGAACGTGGCCCTTGTTCGGGAGGTATCACGTTTGGCACACACTATGATGGCGTGTATGTGTTCAGCGCCGCGGAGTCGGAACGTGGCCCTTGTTCGGGAGGTATCACTTTTGCCACACACTATGATGACGTGTGTGTGTTCAGCGCCGCGGAGTCGGAACGTGGCCCTTGTTCGGGAGGTATCACGTTTGGCACACACTATGGTGACGTGTATGTCTTCAGCGCCGCGGAGTCGGAACGTGACCCTTGTTCAGGATGAATCAAGTTTGGCACACACTGTGATGACGTGTATGTGTTCAGCGCCGCGGAGTCGGAACGTGACCCTTGTTCGGGATGTATCGCGTTTGGCACACACTATGATGACGTGTGTGTGTTCAGCATCATCTCGCCATGTCTGAAAATATAACACCAAGTAATGTGTGAATTTCGTTTTCGTGGTTCCTCCTCTAATCAGTAAGACGTGGAGGTAATCAACGCGACAAAACAATCTCCATGATCATAAGAAGTCTTTACTTGAAGCAGAGTCGACTGTTCTATTCAGAATTGGTCTTTGGCAAACCATGCTTGCCGTAAAAGGAGACTATGCTTGTCGTAAGAGGCGAACGACGGGATCGGGTGGTCAAGCTCGCTGACCTGGTTGATGCATGTCATCGTATTCCAATTGCGTAGATCGATGCTCATGATATCAATCAGTGGATTGTCTGATCCAGACTCGATTATCTACAGACCACCGTCACATAGCTGGACTATTGCTGAATGCGGCGTTAAACAACAAACAAACAAACAACCAAACAAAACAAACGATTCCAACTGCATCACAAGCACGTGTTTATGAATAACTATCAAATAGTGATGATACAAGGGTTTGGGCGACAAAAAGGAGCGTCTCCTGCCCCCCGGGCGCACCCGTCACAAACACTTGCAAAAACAAGTGTCAGCTTTATGTGGGAGGAAAGCCCTAAGTGATGCAGGTCTCAGACTTTTACATCTTTGGTGAATCCCACGAGCACGGTTATGGTGCTGACAAACCTAGAAACATGATGGTGGCGAACCCGGATTCGAACCCGAAATTATAGGTTTCTGGCGTGCCCAAGGCAGGCAACTCTGTAAAGCAAATCGCGGCGCCTTAGATGACTGGGCCACACGTGACCCCCTTTCAATCTGAAGGAAACATCGAATGATACTGGATATGTACTAAAATTGTTGTCTTTTTCTAAATCACATCATCATATGGCGTCGATCGATGCTCATGATGTCAATCACTGGCTTGTCTGGCCAGACTCGAATATTTACAGACCGCAGTCAGATAGCTGGAATATTGCTGAGTGCGGCGTTAAACAACAAACAAACAAATAAAAAATCACTCGCATATATTACAGGCAAGGGCAATGTATGACAAAGCTACTGTAAAATGATGTGACAGCAAAAGGCTTCACACATTGTTCGCAAGTCAGGAATCGAACCCGGCCTTTGCCATGACGAGCGGCCGCTTTAATCACAAGGCTTTCTCACGAAGCCACGCTGGTACCTCACGAAGCCACGTTGGTACCTCACAAAGCCACGTTGGTACCTCACCAAGCCACGCTGGTACCTCACCAAGCCACGTTGGTACCTCACCAAGCCACGCTGGTACCTCACCAAGCCACGTTGGTACCTCACCAAGCCACGCTGGTACCTCACCAAGCCACGCTGGTACCTCACCAAGCCACGTTGGTACCTCACCAAGCCACGCTGGTACCTCACCAAGGTCAACAAAACATTGCTAGGCTGACGTGTTGGGAGATGCTCATTGCTATATTGCATGTAATATCGCCCATGCTACCCGTATCAAGGGACCCGTGAAGATTCCGGGGTAGAATAGGTCTTCAGCAACCCATACTTGCCGTAAAAGGCGACTATGCTTGTCGTAAAAGGCGACCAACGGCATCGGGTGGTCGGGCTCGCTGACTTGGTTGATACATGTCATCGTATCCCAATTGCGTGGATCGATGCTCGTGATGTCAATCACTGGATTGTCTGGTCCAGACTCGATTATTTTAAAGACCGCCGTCATATAGCTGGAATATTGCTGAGTGCGGCGTTAAACAACAAACAAACAAACAAAACCGTATCAAGGACATCACCGAATAACCATTTCGTCTCAGCCACCATCAAACATGGGTGTATAGTTCCTTATACCCAGCACTTTACATGTGGACTAAGTACATGTGGACTAGGTATGTTTATTTGCAGTCCAGTACGATGTCACGTGATTAGTTACGTGGGCGTGGTCCTGGTAATGGGTTTGGGTACAAGCAAGCGGCAACCGTCAATAGTCTGGACAGTAATGACTGTTTTGAATGGTACAAATGTACGTGAAATAAAGGATAAGGTGTCACGGGAGGAATTCCATTATGGGGTCTTGCAATTAGGACAGGAGTGTCCGTCCCGCTGAGTTACGTCCCTTGGTAGTGTTGGATCCGCTGGTGGTGGGTTCGAATAGTGGAGTCTACGATTGCTGTGGTATCACATGATGGTCTGTAAATAGTGGAGTCTACGATTCCTGTGGTATCACAAGGCGGTCTGTATATAGTGGAGTCTACAATTCCTGTGGTATAACAGGGCGGTCTGTAAATAGTGGAGTGTGCGATTACTGTGGTGTCACAGGACGGTCTGTAAATAGTGGAGTCTACGATTCCTGTGGTATAACAGGACGATCTGTAAATAGTAGAGTCTACGATCCCTGTTGTATCACAAGATGGTCTGTAAATAGTGGATTCTACGATTCCTGTGGTATAACAGGACGATCTGTAAATAGTGGAATCTACGATTCCTGTAGTATCACAGGGCGGTCTGTAAAAAGTAGAGTCTAATATTCCTGTTGTATCACAGGGCGGTCTGTAAATAGTAGAGTCTAATATTCCTGTTGTATCACAAGACGGTCTGTAAATAGTGGAGTCTACAATTCTTGTGGTATAACAGGACGGTTTGTAAATAGTGGTGTCTACGATTCCTGGGGTATAACAGGGCGGTCTGTAAAAAGTGGAGCCTACGATTCCTGTTGTATCACAGGACGGTCTGTAAATAGTGGAGTCTACGATTCCTGTGGTATAACAGGGCGGTCTGTAAATAGAGGAGTCTACGATTCCTGTGGTATCACAGGACGGTCTGTAAATAGTGGAGTCTACGATTCCTCTGGTATAACAGGACGATCTGTAAATAGTGGAGTCTACGATTCCTGTTGTATGATAGGACGGACTGTAAAAAGTGGAGTCTACGATTCCTGTGGTATAACAGGGTGGTCTGTAAATAGTGGAGTCTACGAATCCTCTTGTATCACAGGGCGGTCTGAAAATAGTGGAGTCTACGATTCCTGTTGTATCACTAGATGGTCTGTAAATAGTGGTGTCTACGATTCCTGTGGTATAACAGGACGATCTGTAAATAGTGGTGTCTGCGATTCCTGTGGTATAACAGGGCGGTCTGTAAATAGTGGAGTCTACGATTCCTGTGGTATAACAGGACGGTCTGTAAATAGAGGCGTCTACGATTCCTGTTGTATCACAGGGCGGTCTGTAAATAGTGGAGTCTACGATTCCTGTGGTATCACAAGATGGTCTGTAAATAGTGGAGTCTACGATCCCTGTTCTATCACAAGATGGTCTGTAAATAGTGGTGTCTACAATTCCTTTGGTATAACAGGACGATCTGTAAATAGTGGTGTCTGCGATTCCTGTGGTATAACAGGTCGGTCTGTAAACAGTGGAGTCTACGATTCCTGTGGTATAAGAGGACGGTCTGTAAATAGAGGTGTCTACGATTCCTGTTGTATCACAGGGCGGTCTGTAAATAGTGGGGTCTACGATTCCTGTGGTATCACAAGATTGTCTCTAAATAGTGAAGTCTAAGATTCCTGTGGTATAACAGGACGATCTGTAAATAGTGGAGTCTACGATCCCTGTTGTATCACAAGATGGTCTGTAAATAGTGGTGTCTACGATTTCTGTGGTATAACAGGACGATCTGTAAATAGTGGTGTCTGCGATTCCTGTGGTATAACAGGGCGGTCTGTAAATAGTGGTGTCTACGATTCCTGTGGTATCACAGGGCGGTCTGTAAATAGTGGAGTCTACAATTCCTGTGGTATAACAGGGCGGTCTGTAAATAGTGGAATGTACGATTACTGTGGTGTCACAGGACGGTCTGTAAATAGTGGAGTCTACGATTACTGTGGTATAACATGACGATCTGTAAATAGTAGAGTCTACGATCCCTGTTGTATCACAAGATGGTCTGTAAAAAGTGGATTCAACGATTCCTGTGGTATAACAGGACGATCTGTAAATAGTGGAATATACGATTCCTGTAGTATCACGGGGCGGTCTGTAAATAGTGGAGTCTACGATTCTTGTGGTATAACAGGACGGTTTGTAAATAATGGTGTCTACAATTCCTGTGGTATAACAGGGCGGTCTGTAAAAAGTGGAGTGTGCGATTACTGTGGTGTCACAGGACGGTCTGTAAATAGTGGAGTCTACGATTCCTGTGGTATAACAGGACGATCTGTAAATAGTGGAATCTACGATTCCTGTAGTATCACAGGGCGGTCTGTAAAAAGTAGAGTCTAATATTCCTGTTGTATCACAGGGCGGTCTGTAAATAGTAGAGTCTAATATTCCTGTTGTATCACAAGACGGTCTGTAAATAGTGGAGTCTACGATTCCTGGGGTATAACAGGACTGTTTGTAAATAGTGGTGTCTACGATTCCTGGGGTATAACAGGGCGGTCTGTAAAAAGTGGAGCCTACGATTCCTGTTGTATCACAGGACGGACTGTAAATAGTGGAGTCTACGATTCCTGTGGTATAACAGGGCGGTCTGTAAATAGAGGTGTCTACGATTCCTGTGGTATAACAGGACGATCTGTAAATAGTGGTGTCTGCGATTCCTGTGGTATAACATGGCGGTCTGTAAATAGTGGAGTCTACGATTCCTGTGGTATAACAGGATGGTCTGTAAATAGAGGTGTCTACGATTCCTGTTGTATCACAGGGCGGTCTGTAAATAGTGGAGTCTACGATTCCTGTGGTATCACAAGATGGTCTGTAAATAGTGGAGTCTACCATTCCTGTTGTATCACAAGATGGTCTGTAAATAGTGGTGTCTACGATTCCTTTGGTATAACAGGACGATCTGTAAAAAGTGGTGTCTGCAATTCCTGTGGTATAACAGGTCGGTCTGTAAACAGTGGAGTCTACGATTCCTGTGGTATAAGAGGACGGTCTGTAAATAAAGGTGTCTACGATTCGTGTTGTATCACAGGGCGGTCTGTAAATAGTGGGGTCTACGATTCCTGTGGTATCACAAGATTGTCTCTAAATAGTGAAGTCTAAGATTCCTGTGGTATAACAGGACGATCTGTAAATAGTGGAGTCTACGATCCCTGTTGTATCACGAGATGGTCTGTAAATAGTGATGTCTACGATTTCTGTGGTATAACAGGACGATCTGTAAATAGTGGTGTCTGCGATTCCTGTGGTATAACAGGGCGGTCTGTAAATAGTGGAGTCTACGATTCCTGGGGTATCACAGGGCGGTCTGTAAATAGTGGAGTCTACAATTCCTGTTGTATGATAGGACGGCCTGTAAAAAGTGGAGTCTACGATTCCTATGGTATAACAGGGCGGTCTGTAAATAGTGGAGTCTACGATTCCTGTTGTATCACATGGCGGTCTGTAAATAGTGGAGTCTACGATTCCTGTGGTATAACAGGACGATCTGTATATAGTGGAGTCTACGATTCCTGTGGTATAACAGGACGATCTGTATATAGTGGAGTCTACGATTCCTGTTGTATCACAAGATGGTCTGTTAATAGTGGTGTCTACGATTACTGTGGTATAACAGGACGATCTGTAAATAGTGGTGTCTGTGATTCCTGTGGTATAACAGGGCTGTCTGTAAATAGTGCAGTATACGATTCCTGTGGTATAACAGGACGGTCTTTAAATAGTGGAGTCTACGATTCCTGTGGTATAACATGGCGGTCTCTAAATAGTGGAGTCTACGAATCCTCTTGTATCACAGGGCGGTCTGTAAATAGTGGAGTCTACGATTCCTGTTGTATCACAAGATGGTCTGTAAATAGTGGTGTCTACGATTCCTGTGGTATAACAGGACGATCTGTAAATAGTGGTGTCTGCGATTCCTGTGGTATAACATGGCGGTCTGTAAATAGTGGAGTCTACGATTCCTGTGGTATAACAGGACGGTCTGTAAATAGAGGTGTCTACGATTCCTGTTGTATCACAGGGCGGTCTGTAAATAGTGGAGTCTACGATTCCTGTGGTATCACAAGATGGTCTGTAAATAGTGGAGTCTACGATTCCTGTTGTATCACAAGATGGTCTGTAAATAGTGGTGTCTACGATTCCTTTGGTATAACAGGACGATCTGTAAATAGTGGTGTCTGCGATTCCTGTGGTATAACAGGTCGGTCTGTAAACAGTGGAGTCTACGATTCCTGTGGTATAAGAGGACGGTCTGTAAATAGAGGTGTCTACGATTCCTGTTGTATCACAGGGCTGTCTGTAAATAGTGGGGTCTACGATTCCTGTGGTATCACAAGATTGTCTCTAAATAGTGAAGTCTAAGATTCCTGTGGTATAACAGGACGATCTGTATATAGTGGAGTCTACGATTCCTGTTGTATCACAAGATGGTCTGTTAATAGTGGTGTCTACGATTCCTGTGGTATAACAGGACGATCTGTAAATAGTGGTGTCTGTGATTCCTGTGGTATAACAGGGCTGTCTGTAAATAGTGCAGTATACGATTCCTGTGGTATAACAGGACGGTCTGTAAATAGTGGAGTCTACGATTCCTGTGGTATCACAAGATGGTCTGTAAATAGTGGTGTCTATGACTCCTGTGGTATAACAGGACGATCTGTAAATAGTGGAATCTACGATTCCTGTAGTATCACGGGGTGGTCTGTAAATAGTAGAGTCTAATATTCCTGTTGTATCACAAGACGGTCTGTAAATAGTGGAGTCTACGATTCTTGTGGTATAACAGGACGGTTTGTAAATAGTGGTGTCTACGATTCCTGGGGTATAACAGGGCGGTCTGTAAAAAGTGGAGTACGATTCCTGTTGTATCACAGGACGGTCTGTAAATAGTGGAGTCTACGATTCCTGTGGTATAACAGGACGATCTGTTAATAGTGGAGTCTACGATTCCTGCAGTATAACAGGGCGGTATGTAAATAGTGGAGTCTAATATTCCTGTTGTATCACAAGACGGTCTGTAAATAGTGGAGTCTACGATTCTTGTGGTCTAACAGGACGGTTTGTAAATAGTGGTGTCTACGATTCCTGTGGTATAACAGGGCTGTCTGTAAATAGTGGTGTCTACGATTCCTATGGTATAACAGGGCGGTCTGTAAATAGTTGAGTCTACGATTCCTGTTGTATCACAGGGCGGTCTGTAAATAGTGGTGTCTACGATTCCTGTGGTATAACAGGACGATCTGTAAATAGTGGTGTCTGCGATTCCTGTGGTATAACAGGGCGGTCTGTAAATAGTGGAGTCTACGATCCCTGTGATATAACAGGACGGTCTGTAAATAGAGGTGTCTACGATTGCTGTTGTATCACAGGGCTGTCTGTAAATATTGGAGTCTACGATTCCTGTGGTATCACAAGATGGTCTGTAAATAGTGGAGTCTACGATTCCTGTGGTATAACAGGATGGTCTGTAAATAGTGGAGTCTACGATTCCTGTTGTATCACAAGATGGTCTGTAAATAGTGGTGTCTACGATTCCTGTGGTATAACAGGACGATCTGTAAATAGTGGTGTCTGCGATTCCTGTGGTATAACAGGGCGGTCTGTAAATAGTGGAGTCTACGATTCCTGGGGTATAACAGGACGATCTGTAAATAGTGGAGTCTACGATATATGTTGTATCATAGGACAGTCTGTAAATAGTGGAGTTTAGGATTCCTGTAGTGTCACAGGGCGGTCTGTAAATAAGGAATCATCATGATTCTATAACAGGAGAACATTAAAACAAGGTGTATTAAACTAAACATTATTTTACCCAAGTATGTACCTATACCTTCTGTGGTTCGCGCCAGTGCAGTAAGTTAGAAACATGAATAGACAAAGAGCAGCTTGTTATTAGGATTAACAGCAGTCAAAAGACACATTCTTTCACACTTATGATTTCATGAAAATATTTTAAAACTGTGGATATAACGTTACTATATCTTACCACTTATTTTGGCCGTCATTTCCTTCACGCTTTAGAACGTTACAATGTTGAACAGGTCGCGTACAAAGACAGAAAAGCTGTTCATGCATTTAGATATAGTAAGTCTCAAAGAACTACTGACGCCAACTAGCTCACTACTGTCAACAGGTTTTTGTCAAGACGCGCGACTGTTACAGAAGGGTTTCCGGACTATAAAGGCGGCTTTCGGAGGGACTTAGCTTACAATTGAGTGTCTTTGTAAACACAAACGTTGGTCTTTGTACGAGAACTGATCAAGCAGGTGAACGCTCTTCATTTCTTAAGAGTGAATTTGGAACACTCGTCTTACTGTTTGCCTGTTGAAGCTACGACATGCTGGTTTGCATACATTTTACACTGAATACACCTCGTCCTGTGGACATGTACCTCTTTACAGCGGATTGTGTAACGTCATTTGTAGAGGTAGTCATCGACCACACATTAAAAATGCTGCCTAATCCTACAAAGAAACTTACAAGTTCTCGTTTAGATTTTCGATACAGTCGCGGTGTGGTTGTGGTGGGCAGAAAGAGAATTCCGTTGTGACGTTTTTCAGAAACTCACTACAATAAATTACGCTTATAACGAAGTGACGGACATAACGAACTATTTCTTGGTCCCGTCCGTCTGCTGTATATATGTTTATAACGATTCACGGTTAAACCGAATTACAATTGAGTTCGTTAAAACGCCAGTTCCCTGAACTTCAGGTCTTCCAAACTTTTGGGTACGCTCGATGACTTCCGTCAGAAGTATATTCGGTAATCGTATGCCACGGTACATTTTCAGTACGTGTGCCACATGTGGCCGCCATGCGGTGTTCAACATCAAAGTAATGAGTTGGCCTAACAGCCACAAGTTTTGGTTTGTTTTGTTGTTTAACACCGCACTCACCAATATTTCAGCAATATGACGGCGGTCTGAAAATAATCGAGTCGGGACCTGACAATCCAGTGATTGACATTATGAGCATCGATCTACGCAATTGCGATACGATGACATGCATCAACCAAGGCAGCGAGCCTGACCGACAAGGATATTCGCCTCTTATGACAAGCATAAGAACACCTATTCTACCCCGGATATTCATGGGCCAATACCCACAATGATATGCCACATGTTCTCAAGCGACCAGTTGCTTTCCCTGTTTTGGAACCAGCTGCAAACCGTGGTTTATTTCGTTGGTTAGCTTGTTTAAATGTTGTTTAACGCCGCACTCAGCAATATTGCAGCTATGTGAACAGACTATATATTCTATATAGTCCCGCTATGCTCGGGTCAGGACCAGATAATCTCGTGATTGATATTGTGAGCAACGATCCACGTCGTCGGGGTAGGATGACACGCCGTCAATCAAGTCACCGAGCCTGACCATCCGATCCAGCAGAGGCTGCTGAAGACCCATCCTAAACCGGAATTCCCTGGGGGTTTCAAAGTGAATAGGACCCATATGCGATCAGGTAACTATTTTTGTCGGTTGCAAATAGTGCCGTCATCGCATATCGGTCGACTCTATTTATTGGTGATGGTGTGAGTGAGTGAGTATGGTTTTACGTCGTTTTTAGCAATATTTCAGCAATATCACGGCGGGGGGACACCTAGATGGGCTTGTGTGATGGAGAATCGCGGTTCAAGTGTGTGAGTGAGTATGGTTTTGCCTAGGAGTTATTCCACTTTTAACAACGGGTGTTGATATACTAGTATTTGATATCAAAAGACAAAAAGGGTGAGATTATATTTGTCATCCAACATCATTCTTCCAACTTTTTCAGTTTGTAGACAGTAATAAGCAGTGATGTCATTCGATTGCGACGCCATGGTAGCCAATGACGTCACAATGGTCTGCACACAATTGTGATGCAATGTCATTGCAGCGATATCTGCAGTGAAGATGTCACGTGATCTAAAACCCAAGCGATATCTCCTGTAGGAATCAGTTTTAGATGATAAATGTATTATTTTATTCATTTTATATAACACGATTTTTCATCCAACGAGAAACGGTAGCTAAACCGAGGCACAAAAGAAACTCTACTACACAACAGATAGATTCGAGACAGTCATACGGCATCCGCTATTGGCATGACAGGTGCCCGAATTGAAGTGGGTTAGGAAAAAAAAACTTTCAACGTTATGGACAAAGGGCACGCACATCTAAAATCGCTCCAGTTCAATGACACATCACATTACTAGCGGGCGTGACCACCCCCTGCTTCAAGGCACGCATACACACTCCGTGCTTCAAGGCACGCATACACTCTCTGTGCTTCAAGGAACGCATACACACTCCGTGCTTCAAGGCACGCATACACACTCCGTGCTTCAAGGCACGCAGACACACTCCGTGCTTCAAGGCACGCATACACATTCCCTACTTCAAGGCACGCATACACACTCCCTGCTTCAAGGCACGCATACACACTCCGTGCTTCACCACTTCTGAAAAGTGACCCACCACACCCCATCACTGGCCCACCACTCCTCATCACTGTCCCACCACTCTCCATCACTGACCCACCACTCCTCATCACTGACCCACCACTCCCCATCACTGACATTTGGTTGGAAGTATTCTCAGTCCATCATTGACCCACCACTCCCAATCACTGACCCACCGCTCCTCATCACTGACCCACCTCCCACTGACCCACCACTCCCCATCACTTACCCACCACTTCCCATCACTGACCAACCACTCTCAGACCATCACTGACCCATCACTCCCCATTACTGACCCACCACTACCCATCACTGACTCATCACTCCTCATTACTGACCCAGCACTCCCCATTACTGACCCAGCACTCCCCATTACTGACCCAGCACTCCCCATCACTGACCCGGCACTCCCCATTACTGACCCAGCACACCCCATTACTGACCCAGCACTCCCCATCACTGACCCAGCACTCCCCATCACTGACCCACCACTCCCCATCACTGACCCACCACTCTCCATCAATGACTCACCAATCCTCATTACTGACCCACCACTCCCCATCACTGGCCTGACACTCCCCATTACTGACCCACCACTTCCCATCACTGACCCACCACTTCCCATCACTGACCCACCACTCTCAGACCATCACTGACCCATCACTCCCCATCACTGATCCACCATGCCAAATCACTGACCCACCACTCCCAATCACTGACCCACCACTTCCCATCACTGACCCACCGCTCCCCATGACTGACATTTGGTTGGAAGGATTCTCAGTCCATCACTGACCCACCTCACCCAATCACTGACCTAACACTTCCCATTACTGACCCACCACTCCCCATCACTGACCCACCGCTCCCCATCACTGACCCATCACGTCCAATCACTGACCCATCACTCCCAATCACTGACCCACCTCTTCCCATTTTGTTTATAATCAAGTGATGACTTCCGTGACGCCGAATATACACTTACCTCAGCTAATAATTATTGCTTTGTCAATTTGAATTCAATTTCGTATCAACTATCATATAATTGGTACAGTAGGAATGTAAGGGGGAAGTTGGGTGATTATATTAAACTGGTTCCATTGTTGGTGCGCCACGCAAGGTTAGCGCGATTTAGTTTAGGTAGACAGGAACCCGGTCTAGTGATTTCATGTTGGTCTGCAATCTCGATCCAGAGATCCAAAGAAAAAGGTAAATTCCAGAGCTCAAGATAAGCTGTGTATTTGCGTAAAATACGCATTAAATAAACTGAACTACGCAGACTTATCAAATCCTAGCGTATCAAATACGCAACAAAAACTAAAATTTTTGCTCTTTAAATAAAATTTATGCTTATATTATAACTATTAGATAAAAGGATTGCATATGTTACAACTGTTAGATAACATGATTGTGTATCAGCCGATCGGCAAATTCACTTAACGTCCGTTACATTCGGAAAAGCGTTTGTGACAAACTGATAGATACCAAATGAAAAGCACATCGTGCCTCGTCAGTATACATTATACATATTGTATCTTAAAACATGGGAAACACAATCAAAATTAACCCACTGGATGCTGAGTTTTTTTTCCGACGCACATTTTCCTAAGATCGGAAAAGTGAAGGCTGTGCGACAATTGCGCTAATGCGGGACTGGAGCTACCTCCGGTTATAAGATTACGCAGAGTATTAAATTTCCTATCTGATGGTGTAAATGTAACTGCAGATATTTATCCGGTTTGAACAAAAGATACTGCTAAGTGTTGTCCGAAAATTTATTCAGGAAATTTCGCCGCTTTTTTATCATCCACTGGTAAAAGTACTGTGAGACAATTTTTGTTATTTAGCAGCTTTACGGAAACTCTGAGCGAACAAAATTCTGCCTAATATCTGAATGACATAACTATATACCAAATGGAGTTATATGCGTATGTATAACGGCATACATTCATATAACAGTGTTCGGGTAAAAACTAAGAAGTTTGATAGATACATTGGTGGTGTGACAATTTTTATTTGAGAATCGTGGGTCATTGATGGATATTTAACAAGGATATATGAACATTTTGGAAATACAGTAGTTTTCTTATTTAACACATCAAGATTGGGTACTGACAAGGATACAATCTTGATTCTGACATATCTATCACCTGACAACTCGCCTATCTATGAGGATAAAAAAAGAGATGGTATGTCAGTATTGGAGGACTATTTGACAGAGATTGTACATGATCACCCAGAAAAGGAACTCTTTCTTGCTGGTGATTTGAATGCCAGGACCAAAACCTTCCTTGATTACATACCTGAAGATAACAATGATTTTATCCAAAAGGAAATTGATGATTACCCAACTGACAGCTTTGAAGTACCAAGGAACAATAAAGATTCTGATAACTGCAACAATGTTGGTAAGAGACTTGTTGAATTGTGAAAATTATTCAGTATACATATATTGAATGGAAGATGTCACAGAGACAAGCAAGGTGAATATACATGCATTACACACAATGATGCCAGTACCGTTGACTATATGATAGCTTCCCCTAGCCTCATTCCATGTATATCTGACTTTGGAGTAGGTGAGCGAGACGAGTCAAATCATTTCCCAGTGTTTTGCAGGTTTAATTTTGCTCATAATGATTGCAGTAAT